GGGGGGGGGGGGGGTGGGGGGGGGGGGGGGGGGGGGGGGGGGGGGGGGGGGGGGGTAGGTTGCGCTGCGGGGCCGCGTGGAGGGCCGGAAGTAGGCGGTGGACCGACGGGCGGGCGGGAAGCGGGGGGTGCGATGCCGTGACCGGCAGCAGCAGCAGAACCGGCAGCCGGAGGCGGGGGCGCGTAGGGGTTAGCCGGGGGAGGAGGCGCTAGCGGGTTGGATGTAGGACCCTGCGCCGATGGAGCCGGCGCGTAGCGGTTCGACGGCGGAGCAGCTGAGGGGGGTGCGTTGTACGGAGAGGCAGTGCGTCCTGCATGGGGGGGCGGGGGAGCCATGGCGCTCGGAACACCGGATGCCGTGGCGTGCGCGGGAGGGGCATACGGGTTCGAGGCGTTGGAGGTTACCGAGGCTGGGCGCACGGGGTAGCCGCCCGTGGGAGGAGGCCCGACGGGAGGTGACGACACGTTGCGAGGCGGGGCCGAGCCCTTGGGAGGGGGCGGCGGAGGTGTGGCCACGCTGCGGTGGAACGACCCGGCCGAAGGAGGCGGGGGCGGGCTGGAGATGCCCGGCTGGCCGGGGAAGGGCGATGTGATGGGGGCCACGCTGGGCGTAGTCTTGCGCACGGGCGGCTTGGTGACCATGGGCACGTCGTTCCAGCTGCCCACGTCCTTGTTGATCTTGGGCGGAGGGCCGGTGTTCCTCGGCGGAGGGGGAACTGGAGCACCGGGCTGCGTGAAGGACGGCTGGGGGGGTCCATACCCTCCAACAGCAGGGGGCGAAGGCGCATACCCGGCATTCGGCGCATAAGGCGATGCTCCTGCGCCCGTGAACGAGGGAGCCGGGGGCGCGTACGGGTTGGCCGCCGCAGCCGCCGACCCAACGACAGGCGCAGGGGGTCCATAGGGGTTGTGTACATTGCTGGGCACAGCGGGCGTGGCGGTCACAGGGGGCTGGTAGCCGATGGGCGCCGGGCCACGCGAAGCCGCGCGGGAAATGGGTCCCGTCTGGCGCTGCTGCTGTTGCTGCTGTTGCTGGGTGCCCTGCTGACCCTTCTGCGTGGCAAGCCGAACGCGGTTCCGGGCCACTTCGGCAGCCGGGAAGTTGGTCGGAAGCAGGTCCAGGTACCGCTGCGCGACACCCAGTTGGCCGTGGCCGGCCGCAATATCGGCATACTGCGTGTACTTGTCGTACAGAGAGGCCAGCTTCCAGCCCTCGGTCAGCTGCCTCTCGGTGTCGTCAAACTTAGTGACGTGACGGAAGACAGTGACCTTCTCGATAAAGTGCTGCAACGATCGGGCGTGGATCGAGAAGGTCGAGTCGTTACCGGCGGCTTGGAGCCCGGCCTGCTCGGCCTCCTGCAGCTCCGCGAGCCAGATGTCTACAACCTTCTCGAGCTTGGAGCCGACGAGGTAGCAGAACGACGCGTCCTTGCGCGGCCCAGACTCGTAGATGCGGTCGCCCAGCGCGTCGCACAGGTCCGGGAACTCGGACGGGTCCGCAAACGTGCACAGCGCCACCATGGTCTCCTTCCAGTCGTCGAGGTCCGCGTTGTACACCACATCCCACAGGTTCTTGCCGATGACTGAGTTGATCAGGCGCAGGTAGCTCTGGCTGCCCTTCTGCTTTGCGAGGTACGACGTCTGCACCTTGTCCACGAGATCCTTCCCGCCGCAGTTAGCTAGGATGAAGGCATCCGCGACGCGGTCCTCCTTGAGGCAGATGTTGACGGCCTTTTCAAAGTTCCCCAGTATGATAGCCCGGGTGATCTGGTCCTCGGCCGCGTTGGCCCCGCTGAGCAGCTGGAACGGGTTGTCCGTCTTAGCCCCCTTGGCCGGCGTCAGGTCCGACAGGAAGTCGTCGCCGTCGTTGATGTCGCCCCACATGCTAGTAACACGCTTGTGCTTCTTCTTCCCATCGGCCCCAGGCGGTGCCAGCCCCGTCGGCTTGGCTTCCTCTTCTTGCTTAGTCTCTTCTTTAGCTTCGGACTCAGCAGCCTCTGTCTCCTCAGCCTCGGCCGTCTCATCGTCCTTGGCAAGGTCGAGATACTCAATGATCTTAGTGCGCCCATCCGACTCGTTCAACGTCTTGAGCACCTGCCAGTCGGCCTTCTCCTCCTCCGACTTGGCCTCCTCAATGTGGGAGTCGCAGATCGCCGCGATGTCCCCGCTGCGGTACGCCTGCTCAAACTTCTCCGTCGCCGAGCCGATGTCCGAGTCCACAGAGAAGGCCGATATTTGAATCTTGGACGACCGCGGCTGCCCGGCGGGCGTGTCGTTCTTCTTGAACGTGATGAGCTTGCCTCCATAGCCAAACGACACACCCACGGGCCGCTCGAACCAGACCGGCGCCCGGGCTAGCGAGAACGAAGGGCCCTGGATCTGCGCCGGTGCCTTGGAGAAGAAGTCGTCGTCGTCGGCCACGGTGGTCTGCGCAGCGGGCGCGGTCGCAGACGGGTTCGTGTTCTGCAGCGTCTGGATCGTGATCTTGCCGTCGAACGAGGCCGTCGCGATCAAGTTCGGGTTGCCCGGGTCGAAGCGCGTCAGGAACGTCCAGTTGGTGGCCTCGGGGAACTCGCCGTACCGCTCGCCCGTCTGCGGGTTCCACACCAGCGTCCTGTTGTCTTTACCGCACGAGATCAGCAAGCCCGGGTCCTGCTGGCACCACGACAGAGACAACACCCCCTGGTCGTGGCCCTGCAGCGTCTTCTCGGGCGCCTGCGAGTTGCGCAGATTCCACAGCAGCACCACCGGGGTATTATCATCCGACGTGGCCGTCAGCAGCTTGGTCGAGTTGGTCGGGTCCCACGCGATCGCGCTGACCGGCTTGCGGTTGTTGTTGAGCGTCAACGACGCCTTCTTGGTCTTGAGATCCCACACCGTCACGAACCCGCCCGCGCTGCCCGTCGCCAGGATGTTGGACACCTTACGGTTCCACGCCACGCAGTCAATATCATGCGCCGCCGCCGTGCCCAGCCGGAACGCCGTCGACGTGTCGTGGATGTCCCACACGTACAGCTCGCCCCGCGACCCGGCCGTCGCTAGCACTTGCGGCCGCAGCGGGTTGAATTGCAGCGCCTTGATTGGCCCCGTGTGCTTCGTGTCCCGCGACATGAGCGCCTCTTCACCCGCCAGCAGCTTCGCTGCGTCCCATAGCTGCAGCGAGCCATCCTCCATCGCGCCCGCTACCACACCCCGCGGGTGGTCGTCGCTCGGGGCGCCCCATGCTATGTCGTAGAATCTGTTCACAACCAACCAACCCCCCGGTCAGTCTTCGGCCCAGGACATAAAAGAAATCTCATGTTTTTGTTGCCCATGCATACCTAGACTCAGTGCTGATGCTCACCACCGGCTGCAGCTCAAAGCCCTGCTCTGGGCTGTCGAGGTTGAGGTCCCATAGCTCTAGCTTTGTCTCGTCTGAGAAGTCGGCATCCACAGCGCCCGACCGGGTGCCCGTCACTAGGATCGGGTTCGGGCCCGAGGACCACGCAAACGCCGCGGTCCTCGGGATCTCTCTCAACCGGACCATAGCGGTCTGTATAGTATGGTGTCGGCTCGAGAAGGAGGCGGGGGAGACGACCGTAATGTGTCAACGAGCGAGAGCAACGACAGCGATGTCAGGTACGGAGGGGTAGATAAAGTCGGTGGGGAACGTTTATGTCCTGTGTTTCTCGAATTTCTGGGTCTTTGCCGTGGCAGACGTGGCAATTGGGGCCGGGCAAAAGAATTAAAAGCACCAGATTCCCGGCCGCGGTTGAGTGCTCAGGTAGGTTGTGAGAGCGGTGCAGGGGTTTGGCTCGGTTTTGGTGCGACGTCGAGGTTCAAGTGCTCCGTGGGCGGCGTCTTGCCAGATTGCCTCGATCACTGGTGAAGGCCCCAGAATTTGGCATCCACACCAGCTAGCCTGACCGAGAAGCCCCATATAACCCTAACCCTGGTGAAGTGCCGAGCTCAGCTGTGGGACATTCCCAGCAAGCTCAAGGTGGGGCATCAACTTCAGCTCTCTGCTCGCAAAACTCCCCTGCTTCCATCGTCAAAAGCACGTGATATCCGTTCTTCCCAACAACAGCCAGCTCATTCTCCTGTACCAGCAAAGGCAAAGCCTTGATGTATGGGGTTCATTTTTGAGTAACCCGACATTGGCCTCAGGAATCTTTCAACCAGGAGAAAAAAAAAGCCAAAAACAACCCATTAACCTCACAACTCCAACTCACCTCACTTCACTCATTCAACAACAAAATGACAGACACAGCCCGCTGGAAATCCACCATCCACATCGGCGGTCTCTCCCCCGCCGTAACGCAAACCACCCTCCAAGAAGCCTTCCTTCCCTTCGGCGAGATCGCCGACGTATCGCTGCCCAAGAACGAGAATCCCCACACGGCCGCCGACGAACCGCACCGCGGGTTTGCCTACGTCGAGTTTGAGGACGCCGAGGACGCCCGTGAAGCCATCGATAACATGGACCAGGCTGAGCTGTTTGGTCGCGTTATTAAGGTGTCGGCTGCGAAGGCGCCGAAGAGTGCTGGGAAGGGACAGGGGTTGGGGGCGAGGAATGCTGTTTGGGAGCAGGTGGGTTGTTTTCTTCTGATGTTTGATGATTTTTTTGGGACTGGTCTGTTTGTTTTAGGCTGGTGCTAACAGAACGTGTAGGAAGGGTGGCTCGCTGAGCATGCGGTTAGTGAAGAGGACAGGTTGGCGGCGGAACAGGCGCAGAACGCGAGGCCGGATGATCCCATGCAGGGCTTGGAGGGGTTGGATGTCGCTGGGCCGAAGCCGGAATGAGAGATGGACAAGGCTGGGGTGTTTTGGCCGCCCGATAAGGTCGTGCACCGGGTAGTATGAGCGGCGGAGAGTTTCTGTTGTCTGCGAATGTCCCAGATGGAGACAATGGAAGAAGGTGGAGGTGATTGCATAACTACGGCGTTTGGGCAGCGGGTGTCAAGGAGCTTTTACGAATTAAGGAAATGCGTGTCCCTGTTTACGTCTTGACCATGCCTACGCATTCAATCTTTGATTCACCTCTCCGTTCCTGTCCACTGGCACGGCGTAAACTTCGGTTTCATATACAAGCCTCCGGCAATCTAACGCGGCAAGAACCCTCCTTCCACCAAAATCAACCCCGCGCTCCAACCTCATACTTAGTGGTGCTCTCCCTGATGGTGGTCATCGGCCGCGCGGTTTTGCCTCTTCAGGCGGATAGTCCCGTCGACCATGAAGTGACGCAGACTCGAGTAGCCAGCCGCTCCGACGGCGAAGGCAACGACGATGCCTAGACGGAAAGTGCGTGAGCTAAGGTGACATGCAGATGGGAAGGTGAGAAGCGAACGTCAAAACGCAGGGAGGCTCACCGAGAGGCCACAGCTCGGGCGGGATTCTCTTCAGGCGGCGCAGACGCTGCGAGATAGTGTGTCCTGCAAGTTGACAAGATCCCATGTCAGCTGTCTTTACAATCCTCCCCAATTCAATCGTGCTCTCTCTTCGAAATCCTTTCGGTACCCGTTGTCATCCCTGATCGGTTTCACGTACCAGACTGTTCCTCCTTCTGCATATCCCATGCCTGTTAGCCCCGAGTCCTGACGCAATTGATCAAACTGGCGCAAGGGAAATCGCATACCGGCACCGGCCGCATCAAGCGAGGTGTCTGGCGGAACATCCGCAGAGACCGCGTGGCAAACATGTTGTTGGAATTGAGTGGGGAGGTGTCTCAAGAGGACGAAATTCGTGGGCTGCGCGGAGGGGGCGTTCCGAGAGAAGCTCCAGGATGTCGAACTCACGATTTGGCGACGCCCGGCAGAGAGGAGCTCGGTTCCTGGAACAAGCTGCCCCCCCCTCCCCACAAAAAATGCACACCCGACCGCCAAGCCTTTGAACATAAAATAAGTCTAGTCGCCCAGATTGAAACCCGCCAGGCAGTGCTTTTTATGTCTGCCGTCAAAACTGCCCCGCTTTTTCCCGCATCATGACTTGCAGCGGGGAGGAACGAGCAAATGCGGATTCCCAAGCCGAGCTCTGGCCAAGTTCCCACTGCACGACCTGCGACCGACGAACCGACGACACCTCCCCCCGTCAATCAACATCACCATTGAAGCTCCCCCCCTTCGCCACCCACCCCCGTGAGCTCTTCAATTTTTTCGCCCAACATGTCCGACGAGGAGCGCGTTACCAAGCCTTTCAAGTTCGTCACAGGTACGATTGACCAGAAGCTCTCCTGTTCCTGCAAATTCCCTCGGCAGAGAAAACATGGCTCGGTGATTTGACAGGCGTATCGCTAACGTTGTTCTTTAGCTGGTATGCATTGCCTTTCTTATTTTTGCAGGAACACTCCGAGTTTGGATCCGAATTGGCCTCTTGTGTGGTGGACGAAATGGGAAGAAAGAGGGGGAGATGATGGGTAGAGAAAAGATTGAAAGGAGGAAACCGACGACCACGACGACGATAACAGAGAGGAAGAAGGGCCTGGACGGAATCACCGCTGCCCGGGGACGAATAAAATGCCACCCACCCAAAAGCAACCCAGTTTCTAACACAGATCTCTGGTTCTTAGGTGTCGACGCCCGCTTCCCGAACGTCAACCAGACCAAGCATTGCTGGCAGAACTACGTCGATTACCACAAGTGCATTATCGCCAAGGGCGAGGACTTTGCCCCCTGCCGCCAGGTTAGCTCTGCCCTTTTCCTCAGTTTGGGATAGGTTATTCAGGACGGGGGAGGGAGTTGTTGGATTCAACAGCAAGACCAGGGGCGTTCTTATGTTGGAGCAGTGACTAACTCTGGCAATCGCATGCAATAGTTCTGGCTGGCCTACCGGTCCCTATGCCCGAGCGGATGGTATGAGCGATGGGATGCGCAGAGAGGTATGTTTTACGCTTCGTAACCTTTGTCCCAGATCCGAGTTATGAGTTGTTCTAACACTGTTACAGAGGCTGGAAACTTCCCGGTCCGTTTGGACCAGTAAATGGACTAGTAAATGGGGTATTTTTTGAATCGAGGAGCGGGTGGTAGTTACAGGGGAGATCATCCATCCGGACCGGAAGCATTGGCATCAAATTCACGGCAGTGATCGGAATGGACATAGAGTTGGGGTACTCAACCGATACACTTATACTGTGACGGAGGGCGGGAGTAAGAGAAAAGGTTGCACCGGTTTATCCCGCAAATTGACGTGATCTAACTGGAAATGTGACTATAGTATCATCGATTTGGGTAACCCTTAAAGCAAAGGACCATCACTAGACCCTCTGATGCTAGCTGATACGCCAGGAACTCCCGCACCCCAAAAAACAAAACACAAAGGCTTATTATGAATTACACTTCGTCGCCCATCATGCTTCATCTCAGCTCTCCTCGTCAGAAGAGCTCATGAACTCATCGTCATCATCGAACCCGGCAAACTTCCTCGCCGTCGCTGGGCCAGCTCCCTTCCCATTCGCGACCGCCTTCCCCTTCCCTTTAGCATCAGGAACAGGCTCCGGCTCAGATGGGGGGGTCGTCGCTTTAGACCCCCCACTCTCCTCGCCCTCTTCTCGGTCTTCCATCATCTCATCCTCCCCAGACGACGCACTCCCACTCCCGCTCCCACTCCCACTACCAACCTCCCGGTCCACCAAATTATCCCTATACACCCCCTTCCTCATAACCTCCAACACCGCCTCCCTTGTACGATCCCCCACCTCCTCCTTATCCTCCACCCACTTCCCATCCAACCCAACCCTCTTACTCCCATATTTAATCTCCTCCTGCTTCCGCTCCGCCATCTCCACAATCTCCTCCCACCGCTGCCGCCTTTTCTCTTTCTCCGCCCGGTCCATCTCCGGCTTGACGGCCAGGTACTCCGCCAGTGCTTTCGCTTCGTTCACCGTGCGCAGCCGGCGCCCGTCTAGGTTACGCGAGGACCCGTGCTCGTCGGCTGGGTTGCCGCCCTTCTTGCGCTTGGACATGCGCCCGCCGGCGGCGCGGAGTTGGGAGCCGAAACCACCTTTGCCGCCGCAGAGCGCGGGGTGGAGGCGGAGGGAGAGGATCGCATTGTTGTTGGTGTTTGTCTCGTCTTCTTCTTTTCCCTCCTCTACGGGAAGGTAGTGGGAGATGGGGAGCGTGGAGGTGAGTGGGATGGCGCGGCTCGAGATGGTGGTGAGAAGGAAGCGGGTGGTCGAGGTGGTGGTTCTCGCGGCTGCTGGTAAGCGGCTATCGAGTTCGTCGAGAAGCGCGGTGACGGGGGCGGTGGGTGGCAACGGGAGAGAAAGGGTCGGGGGGAGACCGCTGCCGGTGAAACTGGTGATGAGAACGTTGATTTTGGCGGGTGCCATCTTGAGTGGTTTGCGATCGTACTTTGTAGTTATTGTGGTCAGATACAAGAAGGGGTGGCGAGAATGCGGTCCGGGCGATCCAAAGGATACAATCTTCGACTGTCAATCAGGAAGGTTTGGTTGAGCTTTGGGAGGTGATCTCGTCGAGAAGTTGCCGTGGGGTTCAAGTAAGAAGTGGCGATGGTCCCAAATGACCCGTGGTTACGGAACTAAGGTGGCCGGCGCAAGCGTTGTGTTACTGTGTATGTTTGTCCCAAGGCTCGCTCTGATGTGAGAGCGCATGCGCTCGAGGTTCGCAAAAGATGACAATGACTAAGCAGTCGCGCCAAGGAATGCTTTGCAGCCACGGCCGTGCACCGCCGCATATACCCTTGTCCATTTCTTGGACCAAAGTCCAAATACTGTGGCGGTGCGCCCCGCTATTCCCGAGCCCTACCATAACGGAATTTCGTGCTGCGAGCCCACAAATCACTGCGATCTTGAATTTTGAAGAGCCCGTCTCCTTCAACGCCGACCCTTTCCCAAGACCAAGCTTTTCAATTGTGTCGACAACGATCAAGCCGCCAAGATGCTTATTCCGAAGGCTGATCGCAAGGCGATCCACGAGGTATGCCCGAATTTTGTATTTATTCGTCACCGAGAAGCATTTATGGAGGAATACCGGACGAATGAACTTGGTATCATCAACGGCACGTTGGGAATGATCGCTAACGCCCGAGACAGTACCTCTTCCGTGAGGGTGTGATGGTTGCTGCGAAGGAGTAGGTTCACCGATTCCCCCCCAGACGACAAAATCGATTTCTGTCGACGATCCTTCGTTGTTGCTTCGAAACGAGAGATTGCTGCATTGCACCGACGACAACATGCGACTGCAACCCCCGATTCGAACGCATCGGTTTGTCGATGAAATAAGCGAAACATCGAATGCTAACCGGTGGTCTTTTCCACTTCCACAGTTACGAGTCGACCCACGAGACCGGCATCCGCAACCTCTTCGTCATCAAGGCTTGCCAGTCCCTGACCTCGCGCGGCTACGTCAAGACCCAGTTCTCGTGGCAATACTACTACTACACCCTCACCCCCGAGGGTCTCGACTACCTCCGGGAGTGGCTGCACCTCCCCGCCGAGATTGTTCCGGCTACGCACATTAAGCAGGCGCGCTCGCACGCCCCGCCCCGCGGCATGCTCGGCGAGGAGCGTGGTGAGCGGAGGTTCGGCGGCCGTGGCCGTGGCGACCGTGGTGATCGTGAGGGTGGCTACAGGCGCCGGGATGCCGGCGAGGGCAAGGAGGGCGGTGCGCCGAGCGACTTTGCTCCTCAGTTGTAAGTCGAGTCTATCTCTGTCCGGGGCAGGCATGGTTTTGGCACCTCTTGCGGGCCATCGCCTACCCCCCCCCCCCCTTTTCTTTTCTGCCTCTTGGAATACCCTGGCTAACTCGATGTCCTTTTTCTAGCCGTGGCGGTTTCGGACGTGGTGGTGGCCGTGGCCGTGGTGATGCCCCTCCCTCGTAAAATGGAAGGCGGATAATCTCTCTCTCTCTCTTGGGGTTGCCAGCAACGGCACAACGGCATGGGCACGACATGTACTCTACAGTCTCAGAGTGATAGGGTTATGGTCGGCCGGCAATGCACAAAGCACCTACTCGCCAGGACCGTGAGTGGTTTGCGTGTGGAGTTGGTGGTTAGAGATCATTCGGAAAAACTTCTGCATTCAGGGTCATTATTGCGGTCAATACGATTTTTGCTCCCATCCTGGTGTTTATGGTGCTGTACGCAGTGGGTTCGGTCGACGGAATTGATGAGGTTATGACCAACGCAAGAGGGGCTGGCTTTTTCCTATTCCAATCGTCCGCACCGTTGAGAGTACATGTACCTGACCCCGCCATGTTCCTGTTTTCCCCCTTTAGGGAGGCTCAAATAACGTGGAGGGTATTAGATCAACATGCCGTTTTGCTGTTTCCCATATTCCGCTACGCTGTGGGTTGATTACGTTGTAGGCGGGGTGAAATGGTCATCGCCGAGTCAGCAAATGGGATTGCCTTGGCTTCCATCTTCGTTTGCTTGCTTGTTGCTTGTCAGCGACGGCGTGGTCTGCATAATCAACAACCAAGCCAAGCTTCCCAGGCCGAACCATGATCTCCACCCCCGCTCAATACCCAAACAAGGCAAAGCAGGCAAAGCAGGATGGCAGTAAAGCTCCACAAGTCTGAGCGCGGGCCGGACGTCACGGATAGAAGAAGCCGAGTTGGAACAAGGTCACAGCGCCCATTGGATCAAGATACCCATCTTCACAGGCGGCCAAAGGGCGATCATTAACTCTTGGGGGCATTGGGGTTCTGCATCGGTCAACGCCGTCAACACGCCACTCCTCTGTTCCCTGTTGCCGCTACACTAGGAGCTCCAAAGTATAAACGGTTCCCCTCATCCCTAGATTGAAGTCCTGGATTTCCTATCCCCAGAGAGCTCTTCCTAACTGCAATCTTATCGCCAACACCTCGACGTCAGAGTGCAGTGCAACCCTCCAACTTATACCCCAATTTGGCTAAAAACCAACCTCGAACACTCACCCCAACAACAAAACCACCAGCCTTAGCCCCGTCAATATGGCGTCCACAAATCTCCCCACTGAGATGAAGGCTTTGAGGTGCGTACGATTGAATTTTTTGAAATTTGTTGCCCTAGACTCCAAGCATTCAGAATTTGTGGCTGGGTCCATCTCTTGTTTGTTGTCCCACTAATACCGAGACACTACGTCATCGCAGATACAACAAACCTGAGGACTTCGAAATTGTCAAAGTCCCGCTCCCCACGCTCCGCGATGGCGATGTCCTCGTCAAGGTGAAGGCGTGTGGTGTGTGCGGAACCGGTATGGAAACCAATTCCTAGCATTCTTCCTTTTTTCCCACCTTGTCACTTTTCGGGTTATTGTTGTTTTAGAACACGCAGAACTAATACACAACAGATCTGGTAAACTACCCTCCCCAAACGCCGAAAAAAAAATTAAAAAAAGAAAAACCGGTAGACAGACAGACTAATTCCAGGAATTTAGCACATCCACGAAGGCGAGTTCATCGCCGAGTTCCCGCTCATCCCCGGCCACGAGACCATCGGCATCGTAGCGGCCGTCGGCCCCAAGGTGGTGGGTTTCAAGGTCGGCGACCGCGTGGCTGCCGACAACTCAGAGCTTTGCGAGCACTGCTTCTACTGCCGTCGTGGCGAAGGCTTGCTTTGTGAGAACGTACGCGTCTTCCGACCCATCTATCTATCCCTCTCTCTATCTACCCCCATAGCTCCCTTCGCAGTCAGACTGGAAGTTAATGTTTACTCTCTCTCACAGTGGACCGGCCATGGCATCAACCTGCCCGGCGGTTTCGCCGAGTACTGCGCCTACCCGCAAGCCAAACTCTTCCAGATCCACAACCTAACCGACATCGAAGCGACCCTGATCGAGCCTGCGTCCTGCGCCGCCCATGGGCTTGACAAGATCCGTCCGCGGCTGGGCTCCAGCGTGCTCATGTTTGGTGCTGGGCCCACGGGTTTGGTATGTTTCCCCCCCTTCTAGCCCTTTAGCCGTTCCTATAACGTAGGTTAACAAATCCCCAAAGATGCTCGCCCAACTCCTCCGCCAAAACGGCGTGACCCAGCTCACGCTCGCGGCCCCAGGCGGGTTGAAGATGGAGCTAGCCAAGCAGCTAGACGCAGCCGACACATACATCGAGCTGTCGCGGTCTGATCCGTCGGCACAGTTTGAGCAGATCAAAAAGGACAACCCGCACGGGTTTGACATTGTGGTGGAGGCGACGGGGTCGCCTAAGATTTTGGAGGACGCGATTAATTACTGCCGGAGGGGTGGGACGTTGGTTGTTTATGGGTGCGTTTTGTCCTTTTGTTTTGCGTTACTCCCTCTCTCGGATTCCCCCTTTGTGCTTCTGCGAGACAAGATGCGTTACTAACACCCCAACCAGCGTATACGCCAAAGCAGCTAAAGTCAGCTGGCCCCCCTCTAAGATCTTCGGCGACGAGCTGAGGATCATCGGATCTTTTTCCGAAGTCCACATGTTCCGTACGTTTTCGCCACCCACCTAGCTTCCTCCCATCACCCATATACCCATATCGTATTCTTTGCTGTATCATCATACTAACACACCCACCCCACAAGCGCAAACCGTCGACTATCTCGACTCAGGCAAGATCAAGACCAAGGGCATTGTCAACAAGGTTTTCAAGTTGGAACAGTATGGTGAGGCGTTGGAGAGCATCCGGAACAAGTCGGCTATCAAGGCCGCTATTGTGTTTGAGGATTGATAGACTAGCCACATCGTGGCTCTCACTTGATATGATATCAAGGGTGGGCAGATGTGCCTAGGACTAGGGATGCTAAGAAGTGAAGCATGGTATCTTGCCTGAAAAGGTTGAAAGGGGGAAGAGTCTAAGTTCATAGAACAAAGAATCACACGCAAACCACAAAAACACGAAGGACTAATTGTGAGCTTCAAATTCTTGAACTTGACAACACATTACTAAAAAAGGACCCCGAAATCCAATTGTCCGCCCGTCTATATAAATAACTTTATGTAAATGCGATCGACAACCAAGACTGCCGATGATAAAAAACTAGACATTGTCATAATTGTAATACCCTTGTATGTAGGTACGTGTCCAAAGTAGCCCAGACAAGACACCACAAACGGCATACACATGGATGGATGTACTCGAGAGAGGGAGGTCATCATGCCCTGGTGCGCAAGGTGCGCAACCGACAGGGTTAGAAACAGGAAGGAGTTTGCTTGGCTTGTCCAATCGCCTGCTCTTTTTGTTACTGTCTGTGAGAAACGAAGTGGCCAGTGCAGAAAAAAAAACCAAAAGGAAAACCAATGATCAAGCGATAGTTGCGAGGACGCCTTAAGATATGCTGGAACTGGAATGTTGGCTTGACGTAACGCAGGACACCAATGAGTATGCCGGCAAGGGCGCTTGACCGTTGGCCCTTGGACTAAAAAGAGAAATACTGTAATGCAACCGACCAAACCACCCGGCCCGAACGATCGTGATTAAAACGTTGATAGCGACGAAGTGGGATTCTTAATCACGCATGCCCCATTGCGGCTTAAGCGTCTTGCCCATGGCGGCTTGCGTGAAAACCTGGTCGCCGGGAAGCCTGCTGATACGACCGGCACCACCGCGGATGGCATTGGCGTGTGCCGCGGACAGGCCGCTGCGGTTGCTGCGAATCGAGCCGGCATCGCTTCGGTCGTCTCCCTCAGTGAACTTGCGAGGAGGAGCAAAGTCGAGGGCGGTGAAGGTGTTGGATTTGCGGAGCAAATGACTGTGTCTCAAGGTTAGTAACGGCCCACGGGCGAAGGCAAGCAGCGTCATCAACTTACGGGCTGGGCAGTGAAGGGAGTTCTTCATAAGAATTGACTAGTGGCGAGTGCGCCGGCGCGGGCATCCTGTAAGGGCGGCGTTCTCCAGATGGGCTCTGGGATCGGCCGCGGGCACGCTCGGAGAACAGTTCTGGCGGTGCGAAATCGGCGGCGTTGAAGAGGGCAAAGGAATCGTCACCGAGCTTCGATGGAGTCGGGAGCGTGGGGAGATCGGCCGGAGGAGGGAGTGGCTTCTTGGGCCCGCCGAGGCGGCTACCAGCCCGGCTGTTGGACATGGCAGAGCCGACACGCATGCCGGACATGACCGAGCCGGCACGGGCACGACCATAGGCACCTGAGGCCGACGAACCCGGACGCGACGGGTTGCCAATCTGGTTAGACACAGACGATCCCGGACGGGGGGGACCGCGCATGTTGGGCGGGAACCTCGGGCCGTTTTGAGACCCGTGAGAGCCGCGTGGGGGACCCCTCGGGCCAGGGAATCTCTGACCCGAAGGAGGCGGGGTCATGGCCCGGCGTGACACCGGCTGCGCGTAAGGCATGACGAACGAGTTGCTAGCAGGGTCGAAGTACGGGGCATCCTGAGCGTAGCCGGCATCGTAGTCTTCATAGTAGCTCGTGTTGCTCTGGTGGTGTTGGTGCTGGTGTTGGGGCTGGTGTTGAGCATGCTGCTGTGGCATCGGCGGCATCGGCGGAACAGGAGGTCGGTCCTCTGGCTTGGTGTAATCCTCAAAGTACTCCTTGTAGAAAGAACGGATGCGGTTGGCGCGGTACTCGGGATCCTCCGACTCCATGATCTCATCTGGCGGCAAGGGACGGAATCCAACCGACAGGCGACGGTTGTCCTGTTGAGGAACACCCAGGCCGCTTTGGCGGACGTTGTTCTGCTGTTCAAATAGCTGCGAGGTCCTCTGCATGTTCCTGCCCCTTGGCTCCTCCACTCCCAGCTGACCGCTAGGGTGGGCTGGCGAGGGCGAGCGGCGATCTTCGGGCATTGCCGGCATATCGGTGAACTCAAAGTCATAATAATCAAGCGGCTCAGGCTCTTCAATGATCGGCGCCGACATGGAGGCGTGTGGACCCTTGCGCGGCTCCGGGCTGGTGGATCGACTGTCGTAGGAAGAAGTGGCGGATTGGATCGAGGCCCGCTGTGCGTGGGCGTGGGCGTCCAACCCAAGACCAATGGGCGCGGGATCGGACGGGGTCTCGACTTCTTGCGCCAGGGGCTTTTCAAAGGGGTTACGGGCATCATCGTCGTGTTCAACAGCCACCCCTGAATCAGCCGGGCTTGGCTGAATAGGCGACGACACTGTCGACTTTTGCGCAACTGCGGGCGGTTCTTGGATAGCAGTGCCAATGGTAGCGAGCTCTGCTTCCTCAAACCTTGGGGAAGCGGAGACTGCCATTCCAATAGGGGGGAGAGGCCCCTTGGGAGGCGCACTGGGGGGCATGGGCGATGGGTCCGGAATCGACTGGTCTGGCCTCATGTGGCTTGGCTCAGGCGGGAGGATCGGCGACAGCGGGATTGACTCTTGGCGAGAAGAAGCACCATACGGGCCGGGGGAGGTGGGCGCCGACCGATCCGCCCGGCTCTCAGCTCGATACATAGAGCCAGCATCAGGTCCTTTGTGAAACGAGCGGATGGAACCAACGTCGCTGGCGGTGTATTGATTAATGTGCCGGTACGGGTCCTCGTTGGTGTTAAGCGTCTTGGCCAGTGAGTTCAGAGACTCACGCGAGTTGTGTGCTTGCGGCGGAAGGAGATACGGATGGGAGAGGTTCATGTCCATTGACATCTGCTGGCGCTGTTGGCGGTTGTAGCGGCCCTGGCCGCCACCACCGCCGCCCTTCTCCCTGCTAATGAGGCTCTTGCGAGACCCTTTGGCGAGGCCTGACCCGTCTAACCCAAAATCAAGCGACTTGTGTGGGTCACGGAGATCCTCTGCCCGCTGCTTCTTGACGTTCCTCCGATGGAGATAAAGCAGAACAGTGACCGCTACCACGAGAGGAAGACTGTAGAATTGTCAGAATCATATCAAGATATCGATCACGCACTACTTCTGTGCACTTACACAATGCCCAGCACGATAGCCAGGGTACTCGTCGACGCGCCAACGGGTTTTGTGCAGAATTGCGGGTCTGTGCAATCCGTCTCCTCTGCTCGCACAGCAAGAATCCGCGACGGAACCTTAAAACCAAGAGTCGAGGTTGTCGTCCGCACGACCTCACGCCGCTGGGCCTGAATCCTCGGACCCATGGCGTAGGCGCCCCGAACATAACGGCTCTCCATGGTCAACTCCCGGTATTTCCCAAGCACGACTCGGATTAACACGGGCGTATGATAGTCGAATAATGAGCGTCTCTCGGCGTCGAGGAGAAAGTCGGTCTTAGGCGGAGAAAAAGCGTGTTGTCATAACCGTCGTACCACCGCGGAATGGCCTCAAGAACCTGGCTTGAGCTTGTGTGCGAGAACTGTGGTTTGATTGCTGCGTGGTTGTTGTTTTGTTGTGTCCAGACACCAGTGGACTCGGGAACACAGAACAATGCGGGAATTGATTCAGTGCTGTTTCGAAAAGGAGCGGATGGTTCGGGATCAAGCCACCAGGAGATCTCCAAACAACGTCGTCAAGATTGAAAAAGGAATGTCGTGACGAGCGATTTCGTTGGCGCTGGTCTTTTGGCGTTGGAAAAGGAATGACACGCCTGCTTGCAGGCCGGACGGGTGGATAGAAAAGGAGTGGAAGTTCACACGCCGAGACGATGTGAAGTTGGTGGCCGTCGGGCTTCGGTGGGGGTCGCGAACGATGATGCCCCGGAGGTTTGGTGATGCAAAAAGAGTGAAAGTGTTGTTCGAGAGAGCGTGTGGGTGTTCAGAGCGCCGAGCCAGACTCGAAGGAACGAACGCTCGCATCCACAGAGCAGGGCAGGTTCTCAGGCGACAGCACCTGTCCAAGGGAACCAAGCTTTTCACCCGCCCCAAACCCTTTTCGTCACTTCCCAAATCTCCGCCCAGGGGGGAAAGGACTGCCAGATGCCAGGGGTCCTGCACTGGAAGGCTCTCCCGTCCACCGTTTCTGCTGCCTCGCGCTCCGGATCCCCTTGGAGCTCAGGAGCCCAGCGAATAGAAATTGCTAATTTCGTCTTCATCAAAAAAGGGGGGAGTGCTGCAGACCCACTTGACGGGGGATCGCACATGGTCTGGGGTGACTCGCATGTACCCAATCATATCGGCCCAAACAGGCGACTCACGCGGCTTCCACCGTTGCAGCGGACCCGCGCGGGCAAATCCTGCACAAAAGCTCAGGGACGGATGCAGGAACGGATGGCAGTCAGATGGCGCTAATCTCACGCTTTGGTTGGAAATCCACCGCATCTTCAGGGGAAAATGGATCCGAACCTGCCGGTATGAATCAGGCTCTGCAATCCGTGCCATGGACTTGGGCTAGAACCAAAAAAAAAAGATTCTTCCAGTTTTTCTTTTTGCAGCTGGTATTTTTTCGCCCTTTTGATCTGATGTCCGAGCCCTTTATTTTGGCGGGACGTCCCATGTTTCCTTCCTTCCCGTTCCGTGCGTGTTTGGTGCTGCTTCCGTCCGAACCACCCGCTCTCAAGGTTGAGATGAAACGCAAACCGGTCCTGATTGGGTAAATCGGTCTGTAAGCGACGACAAACTTTTCGAGAAGAAACACCGGCATAAATCATTCTGCGGCTTATACTTGACCGCCATCAAACGACGGGAAATAGCTCCCCTATGTTGTTATCCCTTTCTACGGCCGCCCGATGTTTGAATCCTTCTCAGCAGCGAGTTTTTGCCGGCGCGGCTGTCCGTGCAGCACTGGTGCGACACTCGCGAGCGATGAGCAGCTGCGTGATTGGGCCGCTTTCCTGGTCGGTTGATGTCTTGCATTTAGTTATCTTGCCGGGTGGCCGCCGCCATGATTAACTGGCGCAGCCAGACCACATCCTGTGCCACGTACTCGGTGCGTACTAGTGTATCTAGGAAGAGAGCGATAGTGACACGGGCCGGTCTTATCAAGCATCTTTCAAGTGGCGACCGCCATCGTTTGTCGCCATTACCCCTTGCATAGGCGGCCGTCCGTCTGACAACAGTGTACCCATCCGTGCCTGGCAAGCCAACCCACACCGAAATATTGAAGCCCCGGACATGGTCGCGTGACCTACGAACTTCATCCTGTCTTGTAAAACTCAGGGGCATATTCGAGCAACCAGGACTTCTCGATGCGGGTGATATCCCGAATGAATGTCTTGCTTCCCGTCTCCATGACCTCGTGAAATATCACCCAGTCCGCCTTGCGATTGAACATGATTGAGCTCGGATGAGCGTGTAGCGTTGTCGTCCCTGCCACGTTTCGAAACGTTCCGTCCGGCTGCATCCTTGCGGCATGGGCGAAATAACCCGCCGTGAGGCAGCGCTGAATTTGCTGTGCTTGGTTGTTTGCCGGAGAGGTCGAGCTCGATGCAAGGGACTCGTCGACGTTCAGACCAAACCGCTCTAGGTATCGCTTGAGCTGGGCCCGGACGCTAACCGCTCGAGCCATGAGCTTGAAGTTGAGGAGGTTCTCGTGGCAGAACCGGGCTTCCTTGCGGCCTTTTGTCACAAAGGCTTGATAAACGTTCAATAGCGTGAGATGGTCCCCTTCTTCGGCGGCGAACTTCCGCTTTGTGCTCTCCGCTTTCTTCTTCTCCCCTTCGTGCTGAATCCAGATATTCCCGCCGAGACTTGTCATGGCGGCTATCGTCAAGATCTCGCTCAAACAACCAAAAGATGGGGCAGCGAGGAGGGTTTTGGCCATCATGGGCTCAACTGCGAGCTCGGCCATCCGCATCCCTAATGGTTTTGTGAGCTTGGCGTAGTCGTCCAAGGCCCCGAGCGAATAGAGCAACTCAAGTGCCCTGGTCATGAGCTCCGCAGGAGGCGGCGAAAGGAAGTCAAACCTTAGGACGTTGTCTACGCCCAACGCCTTGAGTTGAAGGATGAACGGCGCAAGGTTCGATCGTTGAATCTCTGGGATGTTGGCGTCGGGGAGGGAGTGGTAGCCTTCTTCCGTGTACAGCCGGAAGCATTTCCCGGGCTTTGTTCGGCCGGCACGGCCTGCCCGCTGGGCGGCAGAAGCCTTGGACACCGGGGTTACCGTCAGACTCTCAATCCCGGTTTGGGGATTGTACGCCTGGAGTTTGACAAAGCCAGAGTCCACAACATAAACGATCCCATTGATCGTCACAGACGCCTCGGCGATATTGGTGGCAAAAATGACCTTCCTGAAGTTTTCAGGCGCTTCCTCGAACACATACATCTGCTGTTCTGTAGTGAGACCGGCGTAGAGTGGCAAAGGAAGAATGGAGTCGGACCCCGGAAGAAGCTGAGTCGAGCGCTCCGAGACAGCTTGAACCGCCTGTTCAATCTCCTCTCTTCCAGTCAGAAAGACTAAGATGTCGCCCTTGGGTTCATTCGTGTGAATGTCAAAGACGGTCGACACTGCTTTCTCGACGTAGTCTTCAGTGGGAGAGTCGAGGTACAATACATCTATTGGGTGAGTTCTGCCTTCCAGGCTGACAATTGACGCAATGTCATTGTTCTCTTTGTCACCGGATTCTTCGTTAGGATCGGCGAAGAATTGACGAAAGTCTTCAGCTTGAAGCGTGGCGCTACTGATAATGATCCGTAGTTCAGGCCGTTTCTTCCGAATTTTCTTCAGCAAGCCGAGCAATATGTCGGAGCTGATGGATCTTTCGTGGGCTTCGTCCACCATGATCACCGAATATCGAGAGAGAAGAGGGTCGACGAGTGCTTCCCGGATGAGAAGTCCGTCCGTGAGAAATTTGATACGAGTGTTCTCAGAGGTGGCATCCTCAAAACGTATTGAATATCCGACCTCTTTGCCGATCTCGCACCCGAACTCTTCCGCAACCCTGATGGCAACCGTCGTAGCAGCAACTCGGCGGGGCTCAATTCCGATACTGTCAGTCTTTTTCTCAAAAATTCCTGCCGTATGGAGGGCCATATACCTGTGTGATTCCGATGATTTTTCCGTTTGCACACCACCCAGCGTGTGCCAAGAATTGAGGAATCTGTGTGCTTTTTCCAGATCCTGTTTGGCCCACGATGATCGTAACAGGGGAAGCTTCCACGAGATATAGAAGTGATTCTCGATGTTTCGCTATTGGCAGAAGCTCCGATGGTTTGTGGAGGGCGGGGATGAAAGCCGCCCCAAGATCAAAGTCCGCCATGATTACTATGGTATGTGGTTTGTGGTGCTGCTTGGGGAAACAGGAATACAAAAAGTGAAAATTTGCAGATTCGATACGGGTGATCTGTTATCTTATGGCCCCATTCTAAGAGCCGCCTCAAAGGGAACCTTGTTTTTTATTATTGAGAGCAGGGGAACCAGGCAGGTGCCCTCAAGCACGAGGGAACAAGCTGAGGTTTTCCTCTCCGTGTTGTAGGTTGAAGTCGTTGAGAAAGATACATTCCTCAATTGGTGGAAACGCGACCCACTTCCCTGGGCGGACTGCATAACCAATCACGTGCAAGTTGATTGACGGCGGGCCTTTTTAATGCCTAAGGCTGCCCTACACGTTCAAGGCCTCATCCAAACCTGACCTGAGGAAGGTTGCCCGGCAAGACAAGGCAGTCAGCAGAGAGAGAAGCTACCATCCGCTTCGTTCCTTCCTCTCATCGCAGTTGCCCGACCGGTATCACTACCGAGAATTTTCAAATTGCGTCCGGGTTGAGTGGGGGCTAGCGAAGGCGAATACCTTGCCTGGACAGAACAACTTCCACCCCCAGCGCGATTTGAGGTTTGCTTCTTGCACGCCAACTTCAGGTCTTCAGCAGGAGCACTAGATGCACCGCCTTACTTGGGAATTTCCTGCCGCCTGCAAGGCTCGCCTCCCAAGAGTTCCTCCTGTTTTCGCGCCTATTTGATCCTTCAGTTGTTTCCACATTTATTGAGGCTCGGGTTTGTCCAGTTCGTACTGGTTGAGAGAAAGCCCTGTACTGACTTTCTTACCCGCCTTTGAGAAGCGGAGTATCATTGTCCATATTGTGCAAGCTTTTACCTTACGGAGAGGACTATTATCTGGGACAGCCCGTGTGCCCTGGCTCGAGCAGCCGAAGGACCTACTTTGTGTGTACGAGGTTTGCCTTGGTATACTAATGCATCTCGCTCAAGATGGGGAGAGAGAAGCGTGTTGCCCCGGGCGCGGGCACTGGCGATCACGCTAAGGAGCGACACAAGCGAGATCGCAAAGGAAATGTTATAGATTGGTCTGCTCCATTGCCACCAGGCCTGGTTGCCAGGCCTGAGCAACCTCGAGTTAGCTCGAAACACAAGTCGTGGTTCGAGTTCATCGAGAACAAGGACAAGAAGAAGAAGCTTGAGCTTGAGGTATCTGGTGGTCCCAACTGGCAGCTCGCCGATTCAAGCCACCTTAGATGCTGACTTCATACAGTATACGGAGAAGAAGGAAGCGCCGCCTGGCTTTGAGTTCGTTCCTATTGGGAACCCGGCTCTAACGACGGCATGCAAAGAGCTTTCCCGTGAACAGGATGCGATGGTATTCATCGTGACGGTTTGTAAACGGCTTAAATCCCCACAAGGTTCAACTCTGATGTTGGTTTAGTCAATTCATGGCCTTTCCAAGAGGCTCAGCTCTCACCTTAACCGAATCGGCCACCATGTCCGACAGACCATCGTGGAGCAGGCGCGGGCCACCCTCGGCGATGAGGGACTTGGGGCCGTAGGGGCGGCGCCCGGCCTACCTGAACCCATCCCAGAGAAGCAGGAGGATATAAATGCGCAAGCTGACGCAGCCATAAGGGATTTGTTCCCCCGGGTCCCAAACACTGACCGGCAGAGCATCATCGAGCACGCGTTCAACAAGGTAAGTCCCCTGGATCTCCTTTTGCATATAAAGTCGTTCCTGCATGGCTTTAGAAAAAAACGCCTCGTCTCACTCTAAACTCATGACAGTCGCGGCCGGTGGGTAAGGATGGTCCCCCAGTTGGGCTTGCTTCGGATATTACACTCTCGCGCCGTGTACAATTGGCAGTCCTCGCCCATATCCGACACAACCATACCCGCTACGACCAGTTACTCAGGGAGACGACCTACGTCAACGCGAGGAAGGCTGTGGAATCGCTATGCCTCGATATCCTGGTCAAGTGGCGAGGAGACGAGGAAACGGGGCGTGACCAGCTCGACGAGATTCTCTGCGAAGTTATTGTCATTTCAGATTCCGAGAGCGATGAGTCAGATGACGAGGATGACGAAGCGGAAGAAGAAGATGGGAGCGCCGCTTCTTCAGCCGTATCGTCCTCTGTCGATGGGGGTGCCCCATTGGGCCGCCTAATGCAGGAAGAGCCGGCACTGACGCCGGCGTTGGCTACGGACCTCTCTTATAGAGAAGGGCTTCGCGCGAACCACGCGCCGCGGAAAGTCGCAAAGCCTTCTCGTAAGGATCGGAGAGCCGCGAAATGGCATCAAAGGGGCTTTGGGCGCTACCAGGCTGCCCGAGACCAAGCTTGGCATCAAGCTGTGGAGCGGCAAAGGGTTGACACGCATGCGACGATGGCATCGGCTGAGCCTATTACCTCGGACAGGTTATCAAGCCATAGACAACAACTGCGGTCAATCGGCGAGCCCAACCGTGCGGACCTGCCAGTTTCGGTGAGCGCAGACCAAGCAGAGCCGCTGTACCATGCTAGGGATCCATACGCGACCTCGCAACGTTTTGTAGACGTGCCCTGTGGACAGGGGCATCGAACCGAGGGTATACAGCATGCACACCCTCCGGACACACATCGCATACCACAGCATATTCTTGCCCCAGCAGGCGACCAGGGCGGTGTGTCCGGATCTATAGTTGGGTCCCGGGCGCCTGCACATGGAGCCCCCGAGGTAGAATGGGTAGGTCACCGAGGCCAAGACCTCAAGGACTACCTGGTGCCATCCATTGAGCCCGCATCCCCAGAACCTCCCAGACCCGTTAGGCGGCTTCCAGTTTCGTATCGCCCTCTGGAGCCTAGCATCTTTCATGATGACCAGACTTTGGTTCATGGAGCGGCCCGCAACCCCGCAGGGCCTCCTCCCACTTTCCATCCAGCCAACGACGGTCGCGGTGATTTCTCCGAAGAGGGATTCATCAGACTTCCTCCTCGTTCCGACCCTAACCGGGCACCAGTGGCGCCTGAGCAACGACACGAGGAGCCATTTATTTTACTAAACCCACAACATGTCCGCCCAACCGAAGGTCATCAGGCGACTCTGGCTGCTCCTCGTGTGTTGAGCACGCAGTATCGGTCCTCCCGACCGGAGAACGCCGAAAGCTATGGCTACAGAAACTTCGGCGAAAGGGCACAGCCCGCGTGGCCCGCGAGTGACGGGCCCATCCCTAGATCGGAGGCGCATCCGATCATCATTCGGGACTACCCCCCACCATCTATGCAGCCCCGAATGGGGCCTTTGTATACCCTCCCGGGCGGCGGGCGGCCATCTCCCACGATGTATGCCGAGGCACACCAGGCTGGCCTGAGGCGGGTGGATGACCGCGACCGACACCATGTTGAAACTAGTATTGACCAACGCATCGAAACGCTGGGGGGTGATTTGGTTGAAATTGTTCGGGTTTCCAACACGTTTCCTAGGAAGCACGAGCCCCACCAGACCCAACTGGATCCAAGCCGGTATAGCTTACGATCGGGAATGCCGCAGCAGCGTGTGGTACATCAAGCGGACTCGGGTATAGTATCACACGATCCTCGGCAGATCCCGGGGCCCGGGCAAAGGTTTGAGCGGGTGGTAGGGAGAGTGGAAGTTCCCATGGCCGTCGACGAGAACACGCCTTTCGTCGTGCACCATCCCCAGGGCTACTCAAGGACGACGCGCGAGGCCGAAACTGGGTATGGCCGCCCATACCCTGGGTAAGTAGCTCTTACCCCCCTTCCCCTTTCTTGCAACTGCCTATTTACGTTGCGCATAGCGTCGAGACCCGCGTCTACGAAGATGGCGGCCCGTTATATGAAACTCGCCATCCAACCTATCGGTCCCGGTCGCGCTCGATGATGCCTGCAGCATATTCTACCCAGCAATATCCACCGGGTAGCGGCCGGCCCACTCCCCGGAGGGATGATGTGATTTTACTCGATTGAGCCATTGGCTCCTCGGCCTGCCAACTATGTTCGGCACCGCACTGCTTGACCATCCCGTAGCGACCATGACAGCGGCATCGACTCACAAGTTATTTTTCTTGCATGACCTGGCTCACTTTGAAGGATTGTTGTCCGTCCTTGGCTTGTTGTCATTTCCTTTGTTGGGGTTTTAGAGAAGGGGAATGGGGATTGGGAGAGGTTTTTGTTTGGACGGCTGCATCTTGGCATTGATATCCTGGTAGAGGTGGGATTATGGCTGTTGACTTGTTGGTATTAGCATGGCGTCGTGGGGCAATGGGGGGTTGTTGTCTATGGAGTTTTGTTCATCTGGTGATAGACGAGCGAAAAGTCTATTACTTATTTTTGAGGTGTATGGTAGAACTCTGTTGTCGGTAAACTTCTGGCCGTATGGAGAAAGCATCATATCGCCATGTCACGAGTATCCGCGATTCTCATAGCAAACAGCATCAATCCAAGAGCACATTTGTCAGACGTTTTATCCAAGTTCGTTCATCGGTCATCGAGCCGGACAAAACAAGCAAACCCTCGCGCCATATATGCCAAATACCCAAAATCCTGGGCCCCAAACGCCTGATCACCTGTGACCCCTTTCTATCAAGCCAGCATTGGCTGTCTTTCTTTCTGTGCCTTCCGCTCTGTTGCTGGTTCTGGCCCCGCTTCTTCACCAACTTTGTGTACGGGCAACTGTGTATTGGGAACGCTTGGCAAGCTCTGTTGTTGTTGTTGTTGCACGTCCTGCTTCTTGGCAACCTCAGATTCCAGCGCGGCAAGCTCGTCCTCGACGTCTTCCTCGTCCTGGACGGATATTCGCCCGCCGATAAGCTCGCTGACCTCCTGTTTAACCCAACCGCACGCCATGGTTAGCCAATGCTTCTGTATTTTCCTTTCGCTCTGACACGCGACGCATGGGATAGGAATATAAACGAACCTGCTGGTACGCAATAGCCTCCGCCGTCTCACCCATCAACTTCTCCACGTTCTCGATCCCGCCCATCTCGGCGTGAATCTCACGCAGCACGGCCGTGCCCTGCTGCAGACCGAAGAGGACATCCTTCTGGATGAGCGCGAACTCGACCGACGAGGTCAGACGCTCGAGTTGTTCGAGCTGCGCGTCGGTCTTGGCCAGGAGGGACTCTTGGTACTTTTTGCGTCGCAGCGCGAGGAGAGCGCGCGGCTTGTCGCCGCGGGCGAGGAGCGCTCGGGCGGCTTGGGTCTCGCGGTCTGTTAGGTGGGTGATGCGGCGTTGGTATTGGTGGAGTTTGTCGCGTTGGATTTTGAGGTCGAGGATGGCTCTGGAAATCAGGGGGGGTGAAGACACCTGGATGTTAGCATATGAGGTGGATGTTGGTTTGAGGGGATGGGAGGGGTGTGAACGGACTGGTCTTGGGCCGTTATACGGCTGGAGGAATTGCCCATAATGGCATTTGGAACGGAGCACTGACGGTGGTCACAATTGTGGACGCGGGGGAGGGTCGATCTCAGCCTTCTCGAAACGACCTCGAGACACGGTGAATGGAGGTTGAAGCATTGGCGTTAGCAGCGGCGAGACGTCACTCGCGTGAGCTGTGCAGGGATGCTGCAGTTACAAATTATAATATATGTCTCAAGTACTGAAGGAAATGATAGAGCCAATAGGATGACCTCGGAGCGAGACTTAGCCCATTATTAACCAGTTCTATAATTTATGAAGCCTTTTAAGTATGAAGCAGCTTTTAAAATAGAAATTAAATGCATATTATTACATACCATATAGACATTGTACCTTGCTATGAACTTTTGCGGTACTTGATTGTTGGCTGCAGCTGTTTATCGATAGTCGTCAGCCTAGCGTGGCTTGAGGGGTGGGCCGCATGAGGGGCTACGTAATTTGGGCACATGCGACGGCGGCAAAGGCAACATCATTTGTAGGCAACGCCAACAATAAATCCTCATTCCTCGATAAATGGGATTTCCGAGTATCTTGCAGCATAACAGCCGCACACAACTTTAGATTGCAATTGCGCACCATTTCCATTAGTGCATCACCTAAATTCGATAGCTCGCGATGTCCACCGAGGCGGTAAGCTTCAAGCCCCCTCCCCACTGCGCGACCCCTTGATCCAGCATTTGATCAAATTATGCAATACGCCTCCTGATCTGCAGCGTGTTTTAGGCTCACAATTTATGTGCGCAGAACAAGACGGCCACGGCGCCCGAATCTCCCACGACTGTCAGACCGCTCGATATGGACGACGACGACGTTCAAGACCAAGGCACGCTGGCCGGCGAGGAGACTGCTGCTGCCAAACCCAACGTGAGAGCAGCTTCCCCAGCAAATGCGCCGGTGACTGGATCCGATGAGGCGCCTCCTCCGAAACCGCCTCGGCCCTTAACGGAGGAGCAGAGGAACCAGCAGACTCTGAAAGAGGCTTTCCCGTCCGTCGAGGACTCAGTTATCAAGGCCGTGCTCCGCGCGAGTGGCGGGCGCATCGAGTCCGCCTTCAACGCCTTGCTCGAAATGACAGACCCGGACGCTGCCCAGCGGGACCAACCACCCCCGCAGCCCCCAAGGCCTGCCGCGGACCCCCTAGGCCCTACCTCTACCGACCCATCGCAGCTTGAGGCCGATGAGCTGTACGCGCGCCAGCTTGCGGAGCATTACGAGAACGTCGGAGCCTACGAGGCTAGGACGTCGAACCGCGGCCACCAGCACCGAGGTCGGCAACAGACTGGGCTGCGGCCGCAGGACGACCCGTACGACCGTGAACACAGCTTCATCGATGACGACCTTCCCGTTATCAAGGAAAGCTTGCGCAAGGGGTTCATAGAAACGCAAACCAAGTTTAACTCGTGGTTTAACAACATCAAGACCAAGATCGACGAACAATTCAATGAGGAAGACGAGCACCACACCCAAGGCGGGAACACGTTCATGGGGCGACCGACGCGCGACCAGACACGGCGTAGTAATGACTACGACCGTTATGACGCCGACCCGGAGCTGTTGAGCGATGATTTCGCGGGGATGAAGTTCCATAGCGATGGTAGTGAGTGTTACCTTGTGAGAAACCGCATGCACACCAGGCATTAGCTAATTCCCGCAACCAGCTCCGATCCAACCTCATCAGCGACAATTCGGCGGTAGCAACCCCAATCTCTTCAAGCCGCCCGCACCCTCCAAGTCGCCCAGGCCGGGTGAGGGCCGTAAGGTGTCGTTCCGTGACACGGTGGAGGATATCGATGCGTACAACGCCTCGCCAAAGATCCCGCCAAAAGATAACGCTGTCCCAGGCCCTGGTGGCACGGCTAAAGCTAGCAAGTGGCAGCCGTTGTCGTCGGTCGACCCTAACCCAATCGTGGAAAATGACCCTTTCAGCCTCGGGGACAGCGACGACGAACGGGAGGTGAAGGACAAGAACTCCGGCGGAGGCATTAAGATGGAGGACACCGAGCGACTAAAGCAGGCCACTGCTGATGCGATGGCGGATAGCTTGGTGGAGGACAACAGCAAGGCGGAAAGCGGTAGCGGGGCTGCTGGCAGTAAATAAAGCGTTGAAGGCTGGGAAAGAAGTACCATGGACATGGCTGTCAGACCCGTTCGTCCGGGGTTTACAGGCTTTCGTTCCCTAAGGAGTTCGATACCTGCGTATAATTTGGCTAGGTAGAAACATTAATTGTTGGGTGCGGAGCATTTGCTTTACTTCGTCCTTTATGACTGCTGGGAATTGCGTCGAATAAGTTCTATTGGTGGTTTCGGGGCATACCCAGGCAGGTAGAGTGGAATATTTAGTATGTTTGCTCAAATTTCTCTCTACCCACTTTAGCGGCCCTGAGATCTCGAGGGTTGCTCGGTGGCCCGAGAGTATCGCTTCGCATTGAGACTTTCCATATCGGACTTTTTCCCGCTAGCTTCTCGATCCTTTATTGCGAGTTTGAAAACACTGTCGAATCTTCGCTAGACATTCAGAGATGACAAGCTTTGCCAAGTCCGTTCACGACGGGCTGTCCGTCTTTCTGTGTAAAAAGGCATAAAATGCCGGAGGGGTCCTCTCGGCTGATAGCTGGCCCCACCAAGCAGTTGCTCACAGCAGTGATGCCCCTCTCTGCCCCTCACTCGCTCAGCTCACATTGTCCCGCGACTGCCCCTCATCAACTTAGTTCTGCTTTGGGTCACTCTTCTGCCCCGCAATTGGAGCCGCCCCCGGGTTGTGGGAATTCGCATATCGAATCAAGCGGACCACATGTTTCGATCTGGGCTCGCGATTGGGCCGTTAAGAAATCGAGCCAAAGTACCGTTGCCCAGACTGGGGCATGTTTTTTGGAAGGGTTCTCGGTTTTGTACGATTCCTGAGAGTGAGCTTTCTTGGCTCACATGCTGCTTTCCCAAGTGAGCGGATCGCCACAACCACACGAAAAGTGGCAAGGCGTACCACAGGATGTCTCGCTTGCCGCATGGGAACCTCAGTTAGGTAACCCGTTGAATTCTTGCATATTGTCCCAATTGACTGCACTGGACCTGGCTTTTAAAGGGTTCTTTATGTATTGCGCGCTCCACTGCTCGTGGGGGTCATGGGCACTGGATGTGTCGTCGTCGTTGGGTTGCTGCTCATGGTTGCTTTGGTGCTTCGCCGAGCATCCATGCTGGTCGGACCGCTAGCTCCATCGCTGGCTTTCATCAGCTCGAACGCCTTCTTCCCCGCTATAGAATTTTGCCCGTTTTCCGGTTTGTTCAGTCTGCCGATGACTGTGTTGTTCTTTCCTTAGCGGGGGACTCGAGATCATACGACTTTGTTTTGACTGAAAGGCGGGTTTCAACATTTATCGGGTCTTGGCATCCAGCTCCGTTTTTCATCGAATGTTCTTCGACCCTCACCAGCAGCCAGAAGTAATAAACTCCGGTAGTGTAAAAGTGTGATTAAGGAGGCTCGTCTCGTCCACCAGTGCTGGGCCGGCTGGTACGTTATTTTTGACTTAGCGTCTCCCCACTATCCTTTCACCAAACTAGGCACTCCCGCGCATTAGGTGCTTCCCGGGATACCTTGCCTAGGGACTCGACCTGACGATTCGAGAGGGCTGACGAACCACCCACCCCTCAGGTCGTCCCTTCCCTTCTTCATCTCTTCGAGGTCGTACCTGACACTTTCCATACCTGCCTACCTTGCCCACACAGAGCATCCGTCAAGCGCAAGACCTACTTTGCTCTTTCTATATCGCGGTTCGAGGGTAACAAACCCCCCATTCCCCGGGTGCCACCAGCCCGCTTCCGGTCACCTCCACGCCCACGCACGCCCACGGTCACTCCCACGCCCACGCCCACGCCCATTGCCGATAATCTGTACCTCTACGGTAACCACTTACTTCTGGGTTGCATCCTCAAGAGAACGGCGGAGCCCCTGCACTTACTTTTCATCGACCCCTGATCAGGCCGCCTTCCATCATCACCTCATCTTCGGGATTCCAGAGCCTCTCGGTACCCACCATTCACTTCCATTGGCCAATCTAGGGATCTTTTTCTCCTCTACACCAATCATCGATTTTCGACCTACATGAAGCCGTTGAGGTAGTGCTCAAAATTGGTTGAAGCCTCACTGGCGCAACCTTTGCAATGTGAGTCTCAGTAGCTTTCCCCGTGCCACAGCCCCACTCCTTTACTGAAATATCATATGTAGGAAGTTCGGCAAGCACATCCAGAAGCGGCAGCTTGAAGTCCCCGAGTACGCTGCCAGTTTTGTCAACTACAAGGCCCTCAAAAAGGTGGGCCGCCTTTTTATTTCTCATCTTCTCGAACGTGTTGTCCTGCGGACGCGGGTCTAGGGACTGGTTCGCCGAACATGTAAAAGACTGACACTCGTTCCACAGCTCATCAAGAAACTCTCCGCCACCCCCATTCTGCCCTCGCAAGATGACGCTGCACATCGTGCGACCGCGGGGCCTAGCGACTCCCAAGCTGCTCTGCAGGCAAACAAGGCGACTTTCTTCTTCCAGTTGGTAAGGAGAAACGTTCAGGGGTATGGATTTTAGACACAAGCTTACGGTAACCCAGGAACGGGAGCTAGAAAAGGTCAACGCCTTTTATCTACAAAAGGAAGCCGAGGTAGGTGGCCTTTACTACACATTGCCCCAGCGATGATACTCATTTCCCAACAGCTCAAAGTACGCCTCAAAACTCTCCTCGATAAAAAAAAGGTCTTGCAGTCCCGTCATGGCATCTCGAGGAGATCCGCCAAATTCACCACCCTTCAAGAGGGGTTCCAGCAATTTGCCAACGACTTGAACAAGCTACAGCAATTTGTCGAGATTAATGGCACGGCCTTCTCCAAGATTCTCAAGAAATGGGACAAGACTTCTAAGTCTAAGACAAAAGAGCTGTACCTCTCTCGAGCGGTTGAGGTCCAACCTTTTTTCAATGCCACCGTCATCAGCGAGCTATCCGACCAGGCCACCACGAGTCTCCAGGAGATTGGCGCGTGGGCCGACGGTGACAATGTTACCTTCGACTCCCGACCAGAACACGTCGTGTCTAGCCAATATTTACCGGGCAGTGATGAGGGTGATGCGGACACTTTACTTCTCGACACGGTGCTCTCTGGGAATCTAGAGAGCCTGAAGGACTTGTTGGCGCGTATGGCTGGGGCGGTGGAGCCGAATGGTGCCCTGTTTGAGAGGTTTACGAGGATATTCCTCACTGCCATCAACGGAGCATCCCGTGAAGCGTTACAGCTACTTCTAGAGACCGGATTGGTGGACATCCAGTCTGAGGACGATATTAACGAGCGGAATTGCTTGCACCAAGCGGCGATTTACGGCAACTCGTATGTCCTCGAGTACGGATTGTCAAAAGGGGTAGCGGCGGATAGGACAGACGTATACGGCCGGGTGCCTCTGCACTACGCCAGTATGCATGGACGTCTGGATATGATTGATACACTACTTTCTGGTAGGTGGTGTTCGGCATTGACTTTCACGTGGAATTTGCTGACTTGACTCCAGTTACCTCACAAACGATCAACCTCATCGATCACGACAACTACACCCCATTGATCCACTGTATCGTCCACAAGCACCTTGAGTGCGTAGGAAGGCTCCTGGAACGATCTGCTCGCTTGGACCCGGTTTCCGACACCGACCATGTACCCCTCAACCTCGCATGCGAGCATGGATCGCTTTCCATTGCCGAGCTGCTCCTCAAGCACGGTGCTCGAATCTTGTCCGACGCCGAAGGACTGTATCCTCAGCACCTAGTGGCAAGGTCAGGGCAAACGCCAGAACTTTTGTTGCTCCTAAAAAACCACGGAGCCGACCTGGATCAAATAGATAAGCTCTACGGATGGACTCCCCTTGTACACGCCGCCAGCGAAGGCAATGTCCCTTGTCTCCGGGCACTTCTTGACGTCGGCGCGGACCCGAGCATCCTAGATGAGAAGGAGCTGCCGGCGTTGTATTACGCAGCGTGGGAGGGCCATCTGGAGTGCATGAAGCTTCTCACGCCATTTAACAAGAATGGAAAGGCAGCTCAAGACGCCCAGATAGCCGGACCGCTACCGCCGATGATGGGCAGCAGCGCGCCTATTCCCATGGCCTTGGATATGGATGCGATCCCAGTGCTCGAACTGCCACCTCCCATCATCCCTCTACGACGCTACGGACATAATTTCCTTGACACCAAGACGGTCGTGCAGCTCACTTTTGGCGTGGACGGAGATCAACCACTCGTCTTCTTTCACGACAGCAAGTACCCTGCGGCGCGCCTTGCTATTTCATCCAAGGTCTCAGACGTCATTCCGAAGAACATCATGCTTCCTTTCCATGAAGATACCCGCCTTACCTCGTTCCAGATCGACAACTTCGACACTTTCACGCTGGACTTTGACATCTTCCCGGCTTATGGCGCCAAAGTTATCGCCAAGACTGTTGCGCTACCGGCTACCTTCCGGAATCTCTTGAACAGCAACACCGGGAGTTGTTCTCTGCCGCTGTTTGACCCGCGGTTGCGAGCCATTGGGCAGATCAGCTTCCACGCCCAGATTATCAAGCCGTTCCAGGGTAAGCCGCTGGAGATTACGGACTTTGAGACCTATTGGAAGGCGACGAGCCAAGTCGACACCGTCAATTTGACACCGGCCATGACCAGTAGCACATTCGTGACAGGGTCTAGTTTGTCTGGGGACTTTGTTCGCATTTACGTCCAGCATACCGGCGACGGCATCCCGGTGCTGTGGCCAAAATGGACGGTCAGTTGTGGGGGGATTGATGTACCGGTGTCTCGCTTGACGCTGTCCCAGTTCCGAACTGCTACGGGTCATCGGCCACAATCCCCACTTCCGGTCGACGATATTGCGGCAGTACACGAGGCACTCGCTACACTAGGCGGAACAACCCTTCACGACGCCCTTACCCTCCTACCGAGGGGCATGCATGTCAACATTCAAGTCCTATACCCGACGCCCGAGGAGCGGGAGGCTCTCGCCTTGAAGGAACTGGGGTTGAGCGTGGACTTGAATGATTTTGTGGACAGACTTCTCACTGTCGTGTTTGACCACGCCCGAGCCCAACGGGCCCAAGGGCGGGGCCCGGAAGCCATTCGGTCGGTTGTCTTCAGCTCGTACAACGAGAGTGTGTGTACCGCGTTGAACTGGAAGCAGCCCAACTTCCCGGTGTTTTACTGCAACGACCTCGGGAAGCCGGAGCAGGTGGATGGGAGCAGTACGTTGCGTAATACCGTGTCGATCAAGGACGCGGTGCGTACGGCACAGAGCAACAACTTCATGGGGTTGATTTGCTGCGAGCGGTTGTTGGTAAGTCTTCGCTGTGTTCCGGTAATCGCCTTCTATTCAATGCTAACAATGAGACAGGATACGGTGCCCGCTCTGGTGGACGCTATCAAGGCGCATGGGCTGGCGTTGGTGGTTGACAAGTCCGGCACATGCCTGAGCACGCCGGAAGTCAGCAACCCACTGGATCCGTTCCCGCGACCACCGAATGGCGTGGATGGGGTATTGAGGGGGAATGGCGTGCTACGGTTTACCGAGTCGATAGATGTGTAGGTGGAGGGTGTTGGGGTATGCAAATGGTGATGGTGTTAGGTATTACTGTAGTCAAGTCGTATGGTGTGTGTGGTTTCATTTTGGGGTACATAAAAAGGATAGGAACGATTTATACCATGTGGGTGGTGCCATTGTAAGTAAGTGCGGTGTTTAGCCGTCATGGATATTGCGATGTATTGGGTATGTAAGAAAAGAAAGGATGATACTCCCCAGCGCCGTGCAATGCTGTATCTGTGTTTGATGCTTACCCTCCTTCGGCTACACCATCCTGAATGTACTTTTGTCATACATTCAGAATGTACATCCAAAAAACAGGAAATCCGCGGCAAATCTCACTTCCGAAGACAACTACCACCTTGCCCTCATCTATTCTCTGTTGTTGTTGTTGTTGTTGTTGTTGTTGTTGTTGTTGTTGTTGTTGTTGTTGTTGCTGCTGCTGGACAAAACTCATTTTCTGCACTGTCTAAGCCTACGCCCCCTTATATCGATACTTCAACCCACTCAACTCTCTCTCCGGATCCACACTGGCCATAACCATCTTAGCCCCAATAACAACGGCGTACACGATCCCGGGGAGTGCGCCGAGGAGTAAGGGGTTGACGCCTCCTCCACGACTGTTATCGGTATGATCGGGGTTTTGTGCTTCTTGTTGTTGTCGCTGTTGGACTAGATGTTGGAGGAAGGCGGTGAGAAAGGTGAGCAGGGCGAGGGCGATGTTGAGGATGGGGAGGTAGCGGGTTAGTGGGGAGGAGGAGTTTTCGTGGGTCGTTGAGCCGAGGATACCGGCGCGGGAGGAGGTTATGTTGGGTTTGGCGAAGGGCCTTTTGTTGTTCTTGATGAGGCCGTAGCCTGACCCGATGCCGCTTGTCTCGGCGGCTGTTGTGGTCGTACCCTGGGGGGTTGGTGGGGAAGGGGAGTCGAGAAAGGGGAACCCGGTTTCGGTCACATTGAGATGGTATAACATCCAGCTTGTTGCGGCGAGGGAGGAGAGGCCGAGGAGGGGGACGAGAGTGGTGTTGCTGCTGCCTGTTTTGTGGGATGGTGGGAAGAAGAGGGCGATGAGGAAAGGGATGGCGGAGAGGGGTGGGAAGACGGAGAGGAAGGTGTGGGTGGTTTTGTTGCGGGCGGCGTTTTGGAGGGCGAGGGATTCGATGAGGGATTCTTGTTCTGTTTGGAGTTGTGTTAATGGGATGGCATGGATGGTGGGAGAATACAGGGTGGAGGGCGGGCTTACCCTGCTCGTCGAGGACCTCGGGGAGAGAAGAGTTGTCGTCGTCATCGTCGGAGGGGTAGCGGAATGTGCGTCGGAGACGGGCGGCTGGGGTTCGTTTTGCCATGATAGCTGGTGCTTTTGTGGAATGTTGGAGTTGAAGCTTCAATACATGTGGAACGGAGTTTACGCGACAAGGAGCGCGCAGCGATGACGTGGGGTGCAGGGGTTGGAAGTGGGATTCGATAGATGAATAACTGTGAAAGATACCTAGTTAACTTTATGCAGCAAAAAGAGTGGAACCTGAATGTTAACGCGGAACTCGCTGCTGCATTGGTGCTGCGCCCGAACTGTTTGCTCGCATGGCATAGTTGTGCCCGCCATATAGCAAGGACCCTTCCAGTTGATAGCAAATCATAACGTCACCCCTGCGCGTTCTCGACTTGCGGCCGATCTGTTGTCTGGAGTTCGACCAGAACATGAAAGGAGGGAGCTTTGCCAAGCTGTTCATTGCAGGAACAGACAACCCCTCCAGGGTGTCATGGCTTGGCGACCTCTTCTATTGGCCATAAGGGACGGACTTCCAGCTCAAGCCTCGCCATGTGAGTCTGGTGTGGGTGAGTGCCAAGCCGAAGGTGCAGGAATCATATATGCGAGGCGGAACAATCAGAGGGAGTCGATGCGGTAGCAGACTGTACTGGCTGTACGCTGTTGGTGCTTTGGGCCCGAGAAGAGCCTTGGGGAATGTCTATAAAAGGGAGGCACAGGCTGCTTTACAGACACAAGCTTCTTTATCTTCTTTAATCTTAATCAATTCGAGTCTCTCAAACACCTCGGACCAGACTGTCAGACACTAAGCATTACTCCTTTGAATACTTACACACCATGACCTTACCACCCGTCAAGCTCCTCCGCCCCGACGGGCTTCAGATTGACGCGGATACACCGTGTATCCTGGAGGTCAACATCCCCATCACCCTCCCCCACCAACTCGACCCCTCGCTCCCTGCGCCTCCGTATCATAACCGGGACGGTGGTCCAGAGGACGAAATTGTGTTTGAAGTTCGGGAGTCCTCGGGGTTCCTGACAACCCGCTATATCAAACACATGGTTGCCGATAGACTGCGGGGTGCACTTTCCTAGTCATTGGCCTCTATGGTTGGGCTGTTTCTTAGGATTTGAACCGGGGAAGGTTGGCTTAGGATCCAACGTTTTGATAGTGAATGATTTAACTCTTGTTCAACCTCGCTCTTAGTACACTGCCAGTATGATAAGTGAAAGCTAGACCCTCAAATTCTACCCTATGATTCTACCACACTTGAAAAAAAAACGAACGGCAGAAGAGCAACGACCAGCGCTTGCTCGTTCTTTATATCGTACATGCAATACCCTCACGTGGTCCACATCATGCTCCCTGGTCCAGCAACCGGATCCTGTACTACGGTCCGCCGTGATAGATCCTCCGTGTGCCGTATCCCCCCACACCCATCCTGACTGACACTAGCTAAGTTGTAGTTTTGGATGTTGTAATGATTCTGGGGTTGGTGATGCTGTGAAGAGGAGACGATCAACGCCCCGTTTCTGATGATGATATTGCTTGCTTCGATGATCAAAAGAGAGTGGTGATGAAGAGAATGAAGATACGAACAATTCGGACGCTCTTCCAAGGGTAATATATAGACAGATGAAGAACTCCAGGACCCTATCGATGTCTCTCCCCATTCACCCTCAGGTTAGGCCTGCCCGCTTGTCCGCTGCCAAAAACGAACCCCTTGGTCGTCCATGGTCGCCCATGGTTGTCCTGGGTCCATCGTCGTGAGCCCGATTCCGGGCCCAAACCTCGACCGCGTTTAAACCAATGCGCGTAATCAAAGCCGAGAATTGGAGTGTTGGCCATGAGCCCGATAGTGGCCCAAGAAGATGGGTCATGTTTGGAATTCAGCGGAGGGGAGGCATGACCTGAAATCTCAAACGGCCGTTGGTGTAGCAACCCGGCCTACGACCACACCAATTCAGAGAAACCACTTTGTATAGGCACACGATGGGTTCAGCATACGGATTCATGGTCTTGCGTAGAGCAGAACGAAAAGCTGAGGGGGCAAGGGATGAATGAAGCAATGGCTCCAGTCTTCGAGAGTCAGACACTTGTAAAGGTCCGAGTCCAACCTTCGTCTGCAAAGAGCATGGGAGAGAAAAGGGACCCTAAGCGTCTCTTAGCTGAGAGCAAGGCTACGACTAAAACGGATGATTGGGGGTGGGAAATAGGATTGAGACACGAGGAGAGCGGGAAAGGGTGTTGGGGGCTTTCCAGCGTGCCGTGTCGCTGGCCAACAGTGAGAGGCGTAGTGCTTCTGTAATGGTCGTGCCGTTACAGATACCGGCCGCTGGTGTTTGAAGAAGAGGCCGGTCCGTAGCTCTTCGGACATGGCCCTTTGAACTGGTGACAGAGGTTTGGGCTGAGAATTGTGGTTGCCCATTGGCTGTGTGGATGCCGGTGTGTGGCATCGGGGGCGGACAGCCACACCAAATGTACGCCACATGCCTGCGTTGTTGGGTCGCCATGTATCAAGCTTTGTCTGAGCAGCATTGCATCTAACATCTTCACAAGGCAGCCTATCGGAGGCGTCTCCGGGTTACAGATACTTCAAGCCGCTTGCGTTTCGGCAACTTCGACACTGTTGTCGTACAGAGCCGGATAGAATCCCGAGTTGGTGGCGGTTCGCCGACGACGAGGCTCTCTCTGTCAACCACAACGATCGGGAACAACGCGCTAGAAGTCACTCAACAGGTAGAGGTCTTAAGGGGGTTGGTGCTTAGAGTGGAGGGACCATAGAGGTAGGTTGTTGCAATATTAGAGGAGAGCAGCGGTAATATTGCTAGTTGAGGTCAACACTGTCATAGAATTAAACGCTAAGCCACTTAAACGATCTCAAGGGTGTGGGTGAGTTAATCAGAGAGCAGGTATCGAGGCGAGCGCAAGATGGGATCGCTCTACGAGGAGACGGAGGATCAAGACCTATATGCTGTAAATTTCAAAGTATCCAGAGACGAAGGGCATTAATAGTACGTACGCCCGGGACTCAACGATAACAAGCTGGACCCAGCCGAATCTCCCACTGAACCCCCCAATTCAAACCCTACGCACTAACCTTCTCAAACGGCTCCGCCAAAACCTCCGTCATCGACACGTTCTGCGCACCCCTCCTCCTCACCCTCACCAGCTCCAACACCACCAACACCAACAACCCAAACCCCAACACAAACATCGGCACCAAATTCCACCGCCACCCACGCATCACCGTCATCTCACCCCTCAGCGCCCGGCGCTGCGTCGCGTCCTGCAGCGGCAATTCCAGCACCGCGGCATACCAGTTCTCCGGCGTCCAGCGGCCGTACGGGTAGTGTGTTGTCGACCCCGCTAGATCGCGGACTGCTGCGACGTCGATGGATTGCCCGCTGGTGTGGGAGGTTTCGACGAAGGTGTAGATGAGCGCGCCTGTGGTGAGGAGCCAGCTGAGGAGGACGAGGAGGGACCAGAGGTGGAAGAAGGGGGAGGAGTGGTCCCACTGTTATGGGGGCGGAAATGAGTATGTCAGCAGAGGTTCAGGGGAGGAGGAAAGGTACGAGGTGAGGTGAGTAAGCTGAGGGGCCGATCGATCGAACGTACCTTTTTCCGGGACCGGCGTTCCAACCACAACGCGATGCTCCCGCCGAACCCGACTAAAATCAGGGCTGTTCCGCCCGCGGCATTGGTGGTGTGGCCTTGGTTGACGACTAGGTTGACGGGCTCGCCGGCGAGTATCAATAAATGCGAGCCGCTCGGAGGAGTGAAGGGGAATGGGCCTCTGCCGTCGCCGTGGAGGAATGCGACCATGGTTGAGACGAGGCCCATGGTGACCGCGGCGTCGACGGCGAGGAGGAAGAGGACCAGCCCGATGGGCAGGAGGAGGGAGTGTTGGAGGGCCATGATGGGTGGTTGATGCCGTTTAGCTGTCGTGTGTGATGTTGTCTAAAGGTCGGCCGTCCGTCCCATGTCGCAGTACTAATATGTACTACGGGACCGGTTGTATCAAGGTTGGGCTCATTGATCAACAATGGTCACTTAGTCAAACTCAAGGGATGGTCAAGGACAGGACGACGGGAGGTACACGGGATACTTGTATGCTGTCAGGCATCGGGGCAAACAAAGAAGCGGTGGTGCGAGTTGCAGTCCAGGGCTGCAGGGTCTAGGGCCGTAACAGGGGGTATTCCTGGTGCTCACTGCTCACTGCAAGGGGAGAACAAAGAACTTTGATTTTAAGTCCCACTTGGCTGGCTGCTACGGTGCCACGGCAGCCTTGTGAAATTCAAATCATCATAGAAATTGAAAAAAGTGAGAAGGGATGGAGGCGGTTTCGGGTGTTGGTGCCCACCAATCCACGTCATGGTGATGGACATGATTGGGGGTTCCTTTCCTCGCGAAGCAGTCAAGCGGCAAAGCTTGAAGAAAGCTCTTGAAATCAGACGAAAAAAGGGCAGCCTTGTGACGAGAAACAGCGATTATTCATGCTCTGGGCCCAATCTGGCAACAACCCGCAGCCTGTGAAATTGAGAAGCAGGGTTCATAGGGACCAACAGCATAATTGACTGCGAGCCTTGCACCAACAGCTTCAGCTGTGATCCGTGGCGTCAGCATCAATGGTCGGGAACACCGGCTGAGCCAAGCGAACGAATCAAGATGTTTAGGTGAGACGGGGCCGGTGTGGAGGCGGTGGGGAGGCCGCAGAGGACTTTTGGGGAAAATACCAAGTTTGGAGGTGTTGAAGACAAACAAAAAGGTAAAAAAAAAACAAACTGAAAGTGAAAGGACGTTGAAAATGAACGAGAGCGAACTCTTGGCTCTCGAGCTTGGGATTGGACCAAAAGGGGAAAGCTCGGCCGAAACAGCGTTGCTAAGACGGAACAGGCCCCGGAAAGCGCAAATACCTCGATTAATAAATATTTATACATAATCTCGCCCGATGCAACTCCTTGCGTCCCAAAAGTGGGCTGCAGACCCGTTTAACGAAACATTCAACCGCAACCCACACCCACCGCCCCCCTTCACATACACACAACCCACCATGTTGCTGAGGCTAGCTCAGCAAAGGGCGGGCGCCCACGCCGTCCTCTTGAGGCGAAGGATAGCGACAGCATCCGTTCGGAGGATAACACCAACAGCCCCGCGCCAGCAACCCCCCACCAAGCGAACGCTCGTGTCGGCCCCAAAACCCGGCGATGGGCCGTTGATGGAACGCCGGCCAGATCGCGAGCTGCCTAGTACGAATCTCTCACTTCTGCCCAACGTTCAACATCTTTACCATACGAATAGTACTAACACCATCATCCTCAGGCATAAGCCAAACCTCCTACCGCTGGGCGCGCACCCTCCCCCTCTTCGGCCTCGCCATCGCCATCGCCTCAGTAGCCATCTTCAACTACCAAAAGCTCTCCAGTCCCGTAACCGGCGCGACGCTCTACGCACTTCGCACTTCTGACAAGGCCCGCGCTCTCCTGGGCGACGAGATCTACTTTGCGCAGCAGATTCCCTGGATCTCGGGGGAGATGAATCAACTGCACGGGCGGATTGATATTAGCTTTCGGGTCAAGGGCACGAAGCAGGGAGGGGTGATGAAGTTTGTGAGTAATCGGCCGAGTCCGAGGGGGATGTTTGAGACGACGGAGTGGAGTTTGAGGACGGATGATGGGACGGTGGTGGATTTGTTGGAGGGGGGGGATCCGTTTAGGGATATGGTTCGGGGTGGAGGGGTAGGAGGAGTGGGGATTATTAGTGAGGAGCAGGAGGCTGAGGAGGAGGCGGTTGTGAGGGGGTTTAGGAAGATGAATAAGTAGGTGAGTTGGTGGGTGAGTGGGTGGGAAAGGACTAAGGACTCCGGGGTAGGTATAGCGGGGGAGTACAGCCGCGGGGATACTACTGTACATTTACCTGTATATTGTTTGATATGGTACAACAAAAAGACGACGACCAACAACCCAACAACCCACCCATCAATCGTCACACTGTCTTGACAACGCATTTATGATCCATTTCATGCCACCTCTTGTTTTGCCTCCTTTTGTCTTGCGATTTTCTTACGGGCTGCCGCTTCGTCCTCATACTCAGCCAGCAACTCCTCGATCGCCTCGGCCGTTTCCTCCGGCCCCGGCACACCCTCCTTTAAGAGCTCCTCTATCCTCTTCTCCTGGCGCGCCTCCTTGAGTTCAAGATGGCGCTCCCGCGCGGCCTGCAAATGCGCCTCGGCATGGGGGAACCGCTCCTCCAGCACCCGCCGTGTTCCGTCGATCCACGACTGCGCCGGCGGTTCCTTCTTGCACGCGTCCTGCACCTTGACGATGGTCCCCTTGGGCCCAGCCACGCACCCCTTGACCACAATAAGCCCCAGGTCGTTGTCCACCAGCAAAATCGGCAAGTTCTGAATCGTCACCTGCTCGTTGCCCATCCGCCCAGGCATCTTCTTCCCCGGCAGCACACGCGACCCACTACCCTGGCTAGGACCCACCGAACCAGGCGTCCGGTGATTCTTCGAATTACCGTGACTCGCGCCCTGGCCACTAAACCCATGCCTCTTCATCCCACCCGCAAACCCCTGCCCGCGCGAATTACTGCGCACATCCACGCGCTGCCCAACATAGAACCAATCCGGCATCAGCTGCACGCCTATCGGCAACAACCCTTCCTTCCCACGCACCCGGAACTCCGCCAGCCGCTCCTTGGGCGCAATCCCTTTCGCCTCGTAGTACCCCAGCATCGGCGCGCCCACATTCCCCGCCAGCCGCTCGCCCATGCCCACCTGCACCGCCCAGTACCCGTGATCCCGCCGGTTCTTGTTGAGCACTGTTTGGACTCGGTCCATTTGCAACACTGTGCACCCGATGCGCCCGCCACGCTTGCCCATGAACACTGTCATGCCCTTCTTGATGGCTAGCACGCCTGTTCGCACTGGGGTGGTGAGCTCCTTGCGCTTGAGCGCCGCGGCGGGCCCTGTCGTAGGTGCGGGGAGTCCAGAGGTTGTTTGGTTGAAACGGTGGGGCTTGGCGCGCGCGGGGAGGGTTGACCAGCCGCTGCTCACCGTGCGGGTTTGTGTGTAGGAGAGGGGGGTCGGATTCGGTGTGGTTTCGGAGTAGTCGGGTGAGCGGCGGAGGAGAGAGGATTGGGAGAGGACGGTGGTGGTGGTCGTGGTGGGGGTGGAAGTCGTTGTGGCCGGCCGCAGGGCGAGTTGCCGCCAGCAGTGGGCCGGCAGCCGAGGGGCCATGGTTGTGTGTGTGTTTTGTGTTTCTGTAGACTGTTCGGTTCGGTTCAATTGGCTTGTCGAAGTCGGAGATTTCAGAAATCGTGGGTACTGGCGTCGATGGCAGCCTCCACGACGGCGAGGTCGCGATCTGGAAAAGTGGGAGACTTTGTGGTCGTTGGAGGCACGTCGAAAATTGAGAGCTCCGTTCCGAGAAAAAGGTGGGGGCCGTGCCCGATGTGCGACAGGGATCTGGAAAGTAGATAACCCTAACCCTATCTTGAACGATGCGCTCCTCACGAGGCCATCGCATCTCACTTTGTAAGGCTTTTTCACCCTCAAAGTGATACCCATCTCGAAAAGAAACGCTCAAATTTGGTGCTGATTCTTTTACCGTCTGGCTATCTTCAGTATTTGGGTAAAATTTAACAGAAAAATACCGTCGCTATGGTCTATTACTTCACCTCCAACGTGGTCGAACCCTCAGCCTTCGTCTATGTCGGCAAGGACAAATTCGAGAGTGAGCGGTTCTGGGACCTGGACGGATAAAATTAAACCTGACCTTGATAACTTACATTGATGTGTAGACGAGGACTTGATCAAACATGGCTGGGAGGAGGACGTGTGGTGAGTTTGGACCGACCCCCTCTGTCTTTTTCCGTCCCACTTACTCACTCTATCCAGGGTACGAACTCATAAAACTTGCGCTTCCAACAATGCATATGCTTATTCCGACTAGTTTCACGTCGACAAGTTGTCTAGCGCTCACATCTACTTGCGCCTTCGTGAGGGCGATACCTGGGAGAATATCCCAGAGGAACTGCTGACCGACTTGGCCCAGCTCACTAAGGCCAACTCGATCGAGGGTACGCACTAAGGGACTGCGTTGACTCGGGTTTGGCGAGGCTAACGGTGTCAGGGAACAAAAAGGATAACATCACCATCATCTACACCCCCTGGTCCAACCTTAAGAAAGATGGAAGCATGGCTGTGGGCCAGGTCAGCTTCAAGGACAACAAGAAGGTCGGGCACCGTTCAAAATCTCCGAAGGGGGACTGTTAAACCCCGTGCTAATAGCATACAGGTTAAGCGGATACTCGTCCCCCAACGGGAGAACCCGATCGTCAACCGACTCAACAAGACCAAAGTCGAGCAGTACCCGGACCTGAAGCAAGAGAAAGACGACCACTTGCGGGAGCTGCGCAAGAAGGATCAAGCGACACAGCTGGAAAGGGTAAATTCATCTCCCGCGCATACCGTTTCGTTGAAACACGCACGACTGAGTTTTGCTGACAAACTTCCAGCGAAAAGAAGAGGCACGCATCGCCAAAGAGCGCAAGGAGAAGAAATGGCAGAAGGACCACGCGTACGACGACATTTTCACCGAGGAGAACATGGAAGCGACGAGCAACCAGAACCGGGACGAGAACTGGGAGGATGATTTCATGTAGCCTTGTTGTAGCGTTGGAATTTGGCTCACAATATAACAAAACAGAATGGCTTTCTCATGGTTCAAGCAACTCTATTTCCGCTCATCTAAACACCTGGCCCCCGCCCTCCAATCCCACTGCCCATCTGATTCACACTCGTGCCCTTGATCTTATGGTCCCCCGGGTTGGCCGCCGCCTCATACAGGATGTTAGCCGGTGCCCGCCCGAGCTGCATCCACTCGCCCTTGAACCCGAGATAGGACAGCCGGGTGACGTCCTCGTCGCCGTCGCCAAAGTTGTCTGGGAAGAAGAGGGTCAGCCGGCGGACCGCGTTGAAGCGGGCGCGGCGCTGGTGGGGTGTTAGTATTAGCAAATTACTGTATTGGAGAATCGGACGGAGTAACAAAATGACAAAATTAAACGCACAACTGGTAGCTCTTGCACCTCGGCCGTGCGACTCAGCTCAAACTCTTGCGTGCCACTGGTCTCCTCGGCCACGCCGAAGTCGACGTCGTCGCGGTTGATGATGACTTTGAGTGTCTTGGGTGCTGCGTCCGAGTCGGATGTGCGCAGCAGAATCGAGTGTAGCTTGACTTGGCCGGTGAATCTAGGCGATCGAGTTAGTAAACGGAACGTGAGTTGGGGGTCCACAGTCAAGTCCTCGTGCCATTTCCTTGTCTTCAGTCTTTTCTTTTATACGTTGTACATGCACATGTACAACCCTCAACTCAACTGAACCTCAAGTTTAAACCCCCTTACCCATCCACACACCACCCACCTCAAAAATCCCAAAAGAACTTTGGAAGAAATAAAAGTAACCAACCCACGACAAAAAAATAACACTCACGGCACATTAACAATAACCTGCTCATCCACATCACTAGCCAACTCCGGTTCCGCGCTCAACCTCTCCGCCCACGTCTTCCGAACCACCGCCCGACCAGCTCCAAACTCGGCCTCGTTGAGCGTTGTCACACCGTCAAAGTCGATGTGCTGGTACAGGGAGAACTGCAGGGCTGGGGTGATATCGTCGGAGTGATCGTGCTCGCCGTGGGAGTGGTCCCCGTGGGAGTGTTCGTCGTGGCAGTGGGACATTGTTTTGAGTTGGATTGTGCGGGGAATTGTTGGGGGTTGATGGGGTTGGTGATGAGGGTTTTGGTTGTCGAAGATTGTTGTTTGAGAGGGAAATGGTTGGTACTTTGATATGTTCGTCTGGTGTGGAGAGTTGTTCTGATGAACTGGGTTCGGTTTGCTCAATGGGGAAAGTTGAGGTTGCAGGTTGCGTGTGTGAGGAGTCAGATGGCTGCGGAGCACTAACAATTTTGGGAACTTTTCTTTCAAAACAGGTTAAGCAACAAATATGGTCAAATGTAACGAGGAAAGTAGATCAAACTGAGAAAGAAGACTTAAGATTTAATGTTAATTAGTTTCTCATTGTTTTAGTCTTCAGGTGCGCGGTTTCTACGCTAGGTGGTATTTCGAGTCCCTCTCTCTACATAAAAACGGACCCTTGGCAACACTTGATTAATACAGTTGAAAACACACACTATCGAAACCCACCCAACCGACTCTCACTTTTCCTCTTCCCCTTCTTCAAAACAGCTTTCTTAAATGGCGACAGCGACGGCCGCCCGCCAAACAGCCCTGGTATTAGCTGCGATCTGGCTTGTGACGGTGTGCCCTGCGACGGCCCCTGCGACGGCCCCTGCGACGCCTCTTGAGACGGCCCCATCTGGGATGAGGGTTCTTGGCCGTAAACCTGCGACGACGAGAATATACCCCCGGGCTTTGCCGTTGTCGTCGCCGCCACTGGTGAACCCTGTCTGTACTCCTTCCGCAGCGGTGATCCAGCGCGCGGACGCGGTGATCCAAAAGCGCGGGTCCCAAGTTGGGGTGTGTGTTGGCGCTGGGAAGAGAAGTCCCACGGGAACCCTGCGCGGGGCGTTTGGATCTGGGCCTGCGGCTGTGACTGTGTCTGGATCTGCGGCTGCGGCGTCATTTGGCTGCTATTTCGCGCGCTAGTGGGTACAATGATGGGAGCCCCAAAAGACTGGGATGAGTGGTCCATAAAGGAGGACTCTTCGCCAAAGACGCGTTGGGACAGACGCTCGGCTTTCCGTCGGCGGGCTTCGGCTTTGCGTCTTCGCTTGTTGATGGCATCTTCGGCTTCGAGGTCCTGTCCCGGTTTCCAGGTGATGTCGTCTGGGTCGGCACCCAGGTCCCAACGGGAGAGGGCGAGGGTCGGTTCGCCGTGGATGGTGGGGGACGTATCGAGCGTGAGGTACTTGCGCAGGCGGAGGACGACGGTATCGCCTTGCTCTTCCTGCGCCTGGGCTTCGGCTTTGGCTTTGCCTTTCTTGATGAAGCTGGGAAGTAATGGTTGGGAGGGCATTAAGCTGGGTGAGGCTGGGAAGGGTAGTGAGCTTGAGGGTTCGTCCTCTGGCTGGACCCAGGACTGAGGGACGGCTGAGATGCCGACATTGCTGAGAGACATCTCGGCGGCCATGGTTCGAAGCATATTTTGCCGGTTATGGTGCGCCCAGCCCTTGCTCGGCCGAGGGAATAGGTTCTCTAGTTTCTCAACAAGGTCATCGGGGCCAAAGTCATTAAGCGGCCGGCGAGCTTCGGGCACAAAAAGCCATCCATCTGCCTGTCGATGCTGGACATCTTGTTGAGCATCCCATGCGCGAGCCAGCTGGAAAAGATCGCTAGGTTGTTCAAACCTCGCCAGATCCAATCTAAACGACCGTTAGTAATGATACCCTTGAACGCGATCGTACGAGGGGAAACATACAGGGACCGCCGCGGCATATAACCATCCGTCGCTTCACGCCCGACAGCCTTCCCAATGAACCCGAAGTTGTTCGTCTCTGCTTGAGACTCACTCATCTTCGATTCGCTATCCCCTACCAAGTGCCGTGCAATGAGGTCCAAATCAGCAGAAAGCTGAATCCCGCCCTCCAGCTTCTCCAACACCAACTCCTCCGCAAGGCCCTTCCCAAACACGGCCTTTTCATCAAACTGATCTGGGACCGCAAACGCGTCTGTCAGAGTCTGCAGCAGCTTCCGCCTCCGATTCCCACTCTGCCCGAGCACCTCGCTCCCATCAGGTGGCGGAACAGACACCGTCGCATCATCAGACCACGCACATAGCGCACTATGTACATCCAAGTCCGGCCCGAGGGTCAACAGTTGAAAGAAGCGCAGTTGCGCGTTTTGCAGCAACCGCCCCGCGGGTGTGGTGGGCTCCATACCGATACGGCGCTCCGCGGGTAGGATAGCGAGTCCTACGAAGTTGGGTGGGTCGTCAAGTGAAACCAGGTCGCGGTGGTAGCGGACAGGAGTGCCTCGTTGGGGTTGGATGAACCAGAGCACGGTCATCTCGGCGTCCCGGGTGGATCGGATGCATGCGAAGCAGGCCATGACGTTGTTGATGTAGGTACCCGGTGAGACATCTAGGCGGAGGGTTGAATCGTTGACGTCTCGCTGGTGGGGGCATGATGCGAGGACGTCAAGTGTGAGGGCATCTTTCTTGCCCCTCTTCATCGTCACCCAGAAGAGACTCGTGCTGGTGAGGATGAAGGCTTGAGCTGGGTCGAGCCGCGAAGGGGCAACACCCAGAATCCGGTGGTTATTCTTTAGCAAAAAAAGGTTGGTGAAGGAGCCCAAGGTTTCCGTGGTAAGATCAAACAGGTGTAGGGATTTGGAGCAGCTCAGGAGGAGTGACCGCCGCGGTGGAGGATCTTCTAGTTTCGAGCGCTTCCGCTTGAGGGCCAGGTAAAGAACGTTGTGTGGCTCCGGTTCCGCAGTTGGGTAAGAGGGCAGCCGTGAGATGCTCCCAGAGACTGTGTTTCCGCACATCCTGAGGACCGGGACTAGGCTCCTCGGTCGCAAATCACGGCGACCTGTAATATCCCACAGGCTCCAAAACCCAGCTTGGTCGACAATAGCCAGCTGCGGCATGCCCGTCTTGAAATGCCGCGTGAAAGAGACGTCGGACTGCAAGGCGCCGCCTGTGCGCTCAGAATGAATCGTGAAGAGCGCATTTTCAAAGATCTGGGTAGTGAGAGGGAGGGCCGAGCCTTTTTCCATCGCTCCAGCGGACGGCATGGGTATCATGCGCAACTCTGGTTCATACACCGTCGTGTACGTACCGTTCGAGACGATTAGCCATCGAATGTGGTCGTGAGCACTCGAGTCATCGATGAACTTGATCAAGCACAGTGGCCCCCCTATGCATTGCCACCCACCGCCGAGGTCTGGATTCGGTGACCGCAGACGGACCCGAATATCCGCTCCAACCCAGAATTGTTCCTCCGGGGAGAGGTTGATTAACCGGACTACATGCCCGGAAACGCCTGAAGCTACGGCCAGCGTGGGGTGGCCCTTAACAGAACCGTTTGCTCTCACCCTGGATATCTCTCCGACGGAGAATAACGGCGTCCTTGCCGTCGGCTTGAGCTCGCCGTTGGTTTGGGTTGCTGCAATTTCTTCGAGTAATAGGTTTTCAAGATCCTCATCCACAAGGGATGACTCAGGGAGGTACTCCGTCAGCCAATTCTTTTGAGACCTCGCAACACGGAACGGGCCCATATCGTCTGGCGGAGAGGTTCCGACTTTCGTGGGCGCACACCATTGCGTGAAGGGCGTAACTTGTTTGAAGTGAGGAGCTACAGCTGTCAGTATATATTCGCTGCTCGCAAATTTACTACGCAGCACTCACTCTCATCCTTTGCCCTGTTCCTCCGAATCTGGCCGATAGGCTCTCCAACTTGCGCAGGGCTGTAAGTTAAACGTCCAATGATTCCATCCGCGGCAATCCGGCGCGCCTTCACCCGAGCCGGCGGCACGGGCCGTTGCCTTTCCTGCCTCTCATCCATTGGGGCCTATCGTGATGTGAGGAAAAATAGCGGAATGAAGCCACAGGATCATTCTCCCGGTTCTGCACACAAACAGCAGCTATCGTCTGTACTCAAACGCCAGACTCGGATTTGCAGTGGGAGTGGTTTGTCGCGTCGTGGCGCATGGAATAAGATCGGATGACGGCCGGAGGGGCAGGGGCTGAGGGTAAGAAATACCGGAATCGTACTCTCTTTTCGATGCGTTCGAAAAGAGATGAAGGACGAGTTGAGTGACGAAATTCGCTGCGGCTTCAAGATGTCAGCGAACTCAAATGGCGTTGAAAGGGACCTTTTTAGCGGGGCAGGACGCGACGGGCCAATAGCATGCGAGATGTGGGCCATGCATGGCGGGTCTTGGCAAAGCGATGCCCTGGAAACCCGCTGAAGACGGCAAGCAGATAAACAACCCGCATTTCATCCCGCATCTGGGCCGACGATTGCATCTCCAAATCCGTCCGCGCATCACAACATCGTCATCCTGTCGCAAAAGGCAACATCCTCACACAACACCTCGGTACAGCCCCGCAACCACACGCACACTATGTCGTCTGCCTTCGACCCCTCGATGTCAACGAGCCGGCCGCCCATCAGCGGCCCCTCGCTCGCCGACACCCTACCAAACATCAACTTTGGCTTCGACGAGCTGCGCGACCGTATGGCCAAGTTCACCGCCAAGTTCGACGCCTTCATCGAGCAGGGACGCAAGCGCGTGCTCGAAGAGCGCAACCAATTCCACATGAATGTGGCCGAGCTCCAGGGTACGCCCCCTTCCTAGACTGACCCATGGGCTGTTCGATATGTTGGAAGGTCACGAAGTAGGCTAACCACCCACTCCAAACAGAGGACCAGCGCATGAAGAAAAAAGACATCGAGATCCTCCAACTAAAAACCAACACCTACCAACAAACCATGTCAAAAGAGGCAGCCGAGACTCGCGAGATGCAAGGCGCCATCGCCCAGCTTACCGCACAGCGCGACCGACAAGCCGCAGCACGCGACACCCTCAAGGAACAGATCGCAGCCACGCAGCGGGACATCGACACCCGCCTTGCCGCGCAGCGCGCACACCAGGCGCGGCTTGAAGCGCAAGCGCGTTTCAACGTGCCGGAGCTCGACTTTTGGGTGACGAATTTGTGTCTGCGGATTGAGGGCGCGGGCGCGGAGGATAGGTTGAAGTTTGTGTATACGCATGTGGATGAGAAGAATTGGGAGCGCGAGGCGTGGTTTGAGCTGTGCACGGGAAATCGGGATTATGATGTGCGGCACTGTCGGCCGAAGTTGGAGAGGGAGAAGGTGGAGAGGGTGTTGGAAAGGGTGAATGAGACGAGGGAGCTGGTGACGTTGTTGAAGGGGATGAGGGAGTTGTTTGTCGAGGCCATGAGGTCGTAGTTGGGCCTGCCCTGGTAATGGTGTACGACTGATGCAGTGATGATATTGATGGTGTTAGCATTGACGGCGTTGGGGCAAGATTTAGGATCAGGAATTTTATACCCATGATGAGGCTCGCATACTGGCTCCTAATCGCACTACCTTCAGCTGTCTGCTTTTGATTTTGCTGCCGGCAAGGCTGCATCGTAGTGTTACTAGCTGGCCTAAGGCGCCGAAGTCCAACCACTTCCAAAAGTCTCCGCACTTTCCCTCCCACCCTATATAACCCCCTCCCGCCGTCCCTCAGTCACCATCTCCTCCTAATTGAAATCCAAACACCGGTTTGGCTCAACGGTATTGGGAGGAGCGCTGGCCCCGCCACTACCGTCGTAAATCGAAATGGTCCCGGGTTCGATTCCTGGGACCAGCGAAGAAAAACATCGGTTTTTCGTAACTGCCAACGTCTATCCCTCCGGATGGGGATAGGGCTTGGCTGTGAGCTTTTTGTATTTTATATCCCTTCTTCTGCTTTCTTCCTTTCTTTGCCTTTTAATTCTCACTTCATTTTTTTCTTGATCTTCGTATTGTCTTGTATTGTCTTGTACATCTTATACGAAGATAGTGTCCATGCTCTGGGTGTAAACACACATAAACACCCCGCCAATGAAACATCCAAGCACAAAAGTCCATCAACTCCACGCGCCACAACCACCGACCACAAACGCGTCTTCCCACCAACATCTCCTTCCAAACAGGACACACACTTCAAACCAAACCAGCAAAATGCCACCGCCAACCGAGCGAGCCGAGAAACAGGCCGCGGCCCAACAAGCCGTCGACATTCTCCACGAGATTGCCACCATTTTGGTTCGTTCTGCACGCTTACCTCTCAACCCTAACCCGCTAACTACCCTTCACAAACCAACACAAGCCAAGTGGACTGACAACCATAAAACAGAACTGCCATCTCGACCGCCGGACCTTGTCAATCTGCATTTCCATGATTGAGAACGGCATCAACCCCGAGGCACTGGCAGTAAGTCTACGCAACGAGCGGTCCCTTTTCTAAACAACTTACCTTGGGCCGTCTTCTGGCTGCTTCGTGTTATCTCTCCTCCTGCATCTCGCCAACCGACCCGTCTCGTCCACCCATTACTAACACAATCCCATCAGAACGTGATAAAAGAGCTCCGCAAACAGGGCCAAGATGTCCAACTTGAGTCTGCCGAAGCCGCTGCGGCAGCTGTGGCGGCTGCAGGGACGAGAAGGCGATGAGGATGAGGGGGGAGTAAGGGTGGGAATGGAAGGGGACACTGTCGGGAAGATTGTCGGATGACGGAATGGGCTCTACCCTGGCGCTTTGGGCTTCGTGTCTTTTATCGGATTTATCAATGCTTATTCGGTCTTTGCAAGTGATGAATGGACGGATGAGCAAGTGGGAATGGGAGGGGGATGCTACGCGTGGTAAAGAGAACCCGCCCTACACGTCGAAAGGTCATGAAGAGAGGACGTCCGACCTCTGTTCCTCGGTATGCAGGCGAAAAAAACAACCAAATAATCGAAAGCAAAACCGTTTAATTCTACCCATGGAATCTACAAAACCCAACAAGACCCTTCCATCTTATTCCAACCGGACCCGTAGAACCCACTCCGTCCCTGATCCCAAGTGTAATAATGCAAGCAATGCAGCCCGTTCGCTGTGACAACGTCGACAAGACTGCCGACAAATAAGCAAGAAATTGCAACGCCCGCCGATCCAGCTCGGCCTAAGGGACGAATGAATGCCTTTTCCATCTAAACCTTCGCTTTATCCATCCATCCAGCCAGGGATGGGTATGATAGTGCAAAACACCCAAGAACTCCTTCCCTGCTGTGCCTTGTGCCCGTTATTGACCGTAGTAAACTCTCACACAAAGCCCAAGGGTATAACCCGTATTAGTACCACTTGTTCCACCTTACTCCATCCATTCAAAATCCCACTCCCAAGATGCAAATTCTAACCCGCCCAAAATTGATCGTTCTCTCAAACGGACACCGCTCTCCCCGTCAAATAACCAACCCACCGATGTCATTGAGCCACACCCTTAAATCGCTGTCCCAGAACTCAACTAGATACCGCCCCAGTTCCAACCGCACCAGTAACCTCAACCAAAATTGCCGCCAGAGCAGCCGCTCCCATCATCGTAGTCACCACCGACCGTGGCGCATACGCAGAGCTGGATCTAGCCGCAGAGGACAGGTAACGCTATCTGTGTCCTAGTAGCAGGATGTCATCCTCCACTTCGTCCTCGTCGTCCTCATCATAGTCGTCGTCACCTTCCTCAAATTCGCCGTCGCTGCCGTCTTCGTCCGAGCTAACGTCTTCGTCATCGTCAAACTCGACCGCACTCTCGGCTCGATCGAAATCCCGGTCTCGCCCGCCAAATAGGTCAAGCATGTCCATCTCGCCATCGTCATCGTCGTCGCTGTCGCTGTCACCATCCTCCGCCCTGGCTGAAGTAACGACCGGAGGGGGCGAGACAGTAGCGCTGGCGGGTGAGAGAAGACTAGCGGACTTGGGATCCTCCTCTTCCACTACGGGTGGCGGATTGTCGGCTGGCGGCGCACCTCGATTGAGCAAGCGGGTAATAAGGGCGCGCGAGTAAGCAGAAGGAGAGGTTGCGAGGAGTCCTAATGCCTGCTGCATGGCGCTGGCGCCGATCATACTGTTGCTGCTGCCGCGGCGCTGGTTCTGGCCCCGGTTCTGCTCGCTGTTCCGCTGGCGCTCCTGCTGACGGCGAGAGGCACGGTTACGGCGACGCATTTCTTCATCGACGAGGGCTGGGTCGAGGGCTATTGGTTGCTGTCCGGATTGGAGATGGTGGGGTTCGGGCTGTGACTGTTGGTGCTCGGCAGCGGCATCGCCACCGGGCATATCGAGTAATTGTAGTTGCGTGGTGTTGTAAGAGCTGCAGATGGCACATTTGAGGCCGATCCAGTGGTAGGCGGTCTGCGACTTGGCGGAGCAATCGTTGCACGAGATGATGGCGCGGGAGTCGGCGTAGTTCGGTGGCATGGGTTGTGCGAGGATCTGGAGGTCAAGCTGGCGAAAAGTGTATTCCATGTTGGTACAGGACTTGTTGCACAGCGGACAGCGGTAGGAGGTCTTTTTAAGCTCCTCAAGGCAGTCTACGTGGATGCTATGGCCGCACTGCATGAAAGTGACAGACTTGGGCGAGTCGAGGAGATATTCGTTGCAGATGGGACAGTCCGAATCGACCGCGCGTTCGATACACTTGTGGTTTGTGTCAGACATGGAGACACAAGCCATGCACCGCTGGAATGGAAATTAGCACCAAAAACCAGGTAGCAAAATTGTGCAAACAATAAAACATACCTTGCAATGGGAAAAGTCCTTCCCTAGCCCTTGGCCAACTCGGCACAACCCGCAGTCGGGACAGTGATACATGGGCTTGTTCGGGTCGTCACTCCACAACTTGCACACTCCACAGTAATAATTGGCAGCCGTAGTATAGCACCTAGTGCATGTATCGGAAACCTTTTGTGCGCAGCCGCAGATCATGCAGAGCATGTGCTTGGTTTGTTGGCGGGGGAGGGCATGATCTTCGACGGAATCATGGCAGTGCCGGCAGGTGTACCAGCGGTCACACGTGAAACACTGTAGCTTGACGTTGCGGCGGTAGTGTTGGCACCCGAGGCGTGACTCTTCCTCTTCCTGGTTTTCCTCCACTGACCACCAATCTTTCCTGTCTTCTGATTGCGGCTTCGGGGCAAACGTTGGCTCGAGATCCTCCTCAGTGAGTGGCAGATCGACCGGGCCGGACGATCCAGAAGAGTCAGCAAGAGGATTCCACTTCATCCAATTTTGCAAAGCTCCGCCAGAGCCCAGGGGTTCTTGGTGATTGTCAACAGCACTTGCGCTAGCTCGTGAGACTGGCCGCAGCCCAACTGAGGAAGATTTGGGCAAGTGTTGTTGCAGGCTGGTGTACTTTTCGGTAAGTAGGCCGTGCATCAGTTGGGCTTTGGCATCCTGTGTGACCTCGAGTAATTGGATGGCTTGTATCCTCCGGCGGAGATCTCTCATACCATCGTCTTCGGGAATTGGGGTGGTCCGGGGCCTAGAGGAGGATCGAGTGGTTCCCATACCCTCGGGTGTCGGAGACAGATTGTTCTGTTGGCTCATTTCAGCCGTGAGGTTTGGAGATGGTCCGGTCATGGCTGCGGATGCGATGGAGGTGTCGGGCTCAAATGTAGCGGTTGTAGATGTTACAGCATCCGGACTTGAGGTAGGAGAGGGCACTGGGCCATGAGCCTGACCCGGAGATTCCAAGGGTGTGTCAGTCGTCAACGCACCGCTGGCCCCTTCTATCGCTAGTGTGTTCCCATTCTCGTGGTCCCTCTCTACTATGGTCGTTCCTAGTGCTCCAGGGAACCCAGTCGATTGTGCTCTCGGGCGTTGCATTGAAGGGGGATCGATCGCGGGGGCGTCATCGGCAGCGAATCCGGCCGAGAAGCGGCGAGCTTGTCGTAACACGGGGGTGATGAGGAAATTAGAAACCAGCTGGGCCATCGCAAAGCATCGGCTGCGTGCGGCAGCAGGCTTCGAAGGCGACCGTCGAGATCTGGTGGATTGGCAAGGGAGGATGGAAGGTGCAAGTGCCCGATTTAATGGAGAATTCGGGGGGTGTTGGCGCACCCACGGCCTGCATACAGGGGGGCCGAGGGCCTGGAACGTTGTCTCTGAATTCCCTGTTATTGGGCGTCTGTCGTCGTCAGCACGAGCAGGGGCATGGTAGGTGGCACATGCTCTCGGACCCACTCAATTCGCAGTCAAGCTTTTTGACGGTCAAGGATCGTTCCTTCTTTCGTTCTTTTTCATCTGCAATTGAGACACTTCCATCTGAGAAAGCCGATACCAATTGATGGTAATAACCAGGGTGTGAACAGGCCATCATGAGACAGAACATTGTGGAAGCATTTTGCCGAATTTTGGTCGTTCTTTCATGGCTGACAACTTAATTCTTAATTGGCGCTGAGATCATCGTCACTTCTTAGCTTGGGCAACTTTCCCCTTTCAGAATCCGTGATCGAATCCGAAGCCTTGGTACACCTGTACTGCCTATGTAGTCTTGTGGTCCTTTTCCCCGACTTCGTGCAACCTGATTTGTGCTTCCTCTTCCCATCTCGTTTTGGGTAGGTAGACTAACCTGACATGAAAAGCACTGGCTGGAGACTTGCCTTCTAACAACGATATGTGAAGTTCCAGTTCGCCAAACTTAGGACCGGGCCGCACTTATATCGGACCCTGATCGATAGTTACGGTACCTATTCAGCTTAGAGTCCATCATAACGACACACATGTCAACTACATCCACTTCAACAACCCCAGATTTAACCTGCCTCCTCCTTCTGATCCCCAATCCCAGGCACCTCCACCAAAAAGTCAGCTCTCACCCCCAAATGATCCGTCACCCACGGTTGCTCCAGGCTGCCTCGCTGCAACAACCGTTCAGCAGCCTGCTGGTCAGTGATCGTGACCCCGAGTCCAAACGTTTTGAACCCCACCAGTTTCAACGCCTTTTCTTCCCCGCAGAAAAGGATCTTGTCCAGTCGACCTAGGCCGAAACGTGCCCGCTGCCAGGGTTCGGCCATTTGGCCCCTATTTATGGGAACGAAAGTTAGTCGGGTTGTATCCTTTGCCAACCAGAAACCCCGGAAAAGGGGGAACCAAATAATTACCACGTCATCCCCCCTTCTTCACCTTCCTTCCCACCATTCTCCAAAAACGCATCCTTCAACCCACACTCCTCAGGCAGCGTCTTATCAAACGCTTCAATGGCATTCAAATCCCCGCCCAGGATCCCCCCCAACACCTTACCACCACCGCCCGTCTTACCCCCACGTAGATACTCCGCCGCAGCAGCCAGTTGAGCTGGGCGTTTGGGCGGTTTGGCGGCGAGGGATTCTAGATGGGTGGTACATAGCCGGAGTATCGGACGGGGACCCGGTTCGGTAGGTGTGGTGTTCTCAGTTTCGTTACTGCTGCTGCTTTTAGGGCTCTTCCGCCAGGGCAGGTCGATGTCGACAAAGAGCGCGTCACGCTGCATGGCGGTAATGGTGTAATGGAGTCGTGCAACGGACGATATGGAGAAGTTGCGTGGGATGAGCATCGTGGTGCCTGGACATGCACCGTTAGGCCGTGTGTAAACAGCATTGAAAACAACAAAACAAAAACAAGGAGGGAGGGTAGTGATCATATCATCTCATCTCACCATAAGCATCAGACTCCCAATCCACCGTAGTCGCATCCGTGATATCATAGCCCTCGCGAATCCAACCCGCCAACTTGATCAACCGGAGGTCCCCAGCCGTCATCTCGTTCAGCATCACAACCACAGGGGCTGAGTCCCCGCTGTCACGACGGATGCCGGCAATGTATGTCCCGAGATAGTCCAGAGCAGCACTCATCCGCGCGTCGTCTTCGTCGCGCATGAAGTCGATGTTCCATGATAAGACTGACAGACGGAAGGGGTTGGGTGTTGTAGAGGGTTGTGTTGATGTTGAGGCTGGTGTTGGTGGTGGCTCAACAGGCCACCATTTGTCGTCGCGAAAGGTGAAGTACTCTTGTGGTGTGAGCTGGCCACGCGGTCGGCCGTGAATGGTCGTTGTTGTGTTGAACATGAACATGTTGGGGACGTAACGTCGTCGGGCTGTAGTTGAGAATTGGGGATAGAGTTGGCGATTACGCCGATGAGGGGTGAAGTGCGGGGGAAATCGTACAAAGTACAGCGGGGACTGTATGTGGAACTTCATAAGGATGAGCACAAAATGGTGAAAGATCAGGGTGAGATTGAGAGGAGGTTGTGTCGCTCTGCCCTGTGTGGTTGAAGGAACGCAAGAGGCACGGAGCTGATTGGTTGGTATTAATTGAAATTTGGGGATGAAGAGAAAGCTACAATACACAGCCAACCCATTTGGTTTATTCCAGTTTTTTCATCTGTGAACCCGGTACTCACTTCTTTGGACCTCTGACCGTTTCGCTGCGTCCTGGATGTGCGTAGCTGTTGCCTTGGCTCAGCACATGCGGCCCCAGCTCTCGGTCAGCCATGGACTTTTCTTAAGCCGGAGAACGGTCAACGGCGTTTAAAGCTTCCCGACAATATCTTGATAATTACCCACTCGGACCAACATGTCGATCATTATCCTCACCAGGCCGGAATGCCGTCTTACCGGCCAACACCTCGAGGGGCCAGTGGGCCTCACCGAGGGCCCCAATAGCTAACTGAAGAAGATCGTCATCGCTGCCGCGAGGGCCTGCTAAAGAGGCCACGATGGGGGCATATTCAGTTCTCTTCGAAACTCGCGACTCGTAAGGATTCTGGCTGACTGTATCGTTTCCGTCAATGCTATTACTTGTGGACGAGGAGCTTGCGGGGCTTCAAGTAAGGGAGCAACTTACTTGGGATCACAAGTTGGGGAAGGCCGAGGACCGTAGCAAAGTCGACGGGATCGTACGCGGATTCCGAGAGTTCGCCTCTGTGCCCTTCACATTAGTTTCAGTGTTCCCCTAGAAAGGTAATGAACCGAGCACAAACCCTGGTGTAGGAACGATATCGCGATAGTTAGCCCCCGGTCGCCCGAGGGGAAGGAGAACAAAGTTGTACTCTGTGTCTGGTTTCAGAATGTGGCCCCGGACCCAGGTGTAGTAGACCCCGAGCTCGGCGAGGCCCTGTTCCCTCTGTTCCTGGGTGATATTGGTTGCCAGGCCCCTCCATGCGTGTTAGTTTCTTTGTTTACCAGTAGAGGAGCTAGACTAGGAACCACTGGAAAAGCTGTTGATGTGTACTCACCACCGGCGGGTCATGAAGGGGCTCGCATAAGGGGGATGTCCGAATTTCGCCTGAAAGCCGTCTCGGAACTTGTCGTACGTATGATACCCATCGTAGTAGTTGGGCCAATAAATAGACTTGCTTCTGTCGGTCGTCATACATTTGGGGGCTGTGGGGTGATTGGAATGGGATGGAGGGTGACTGACCATGCCCAGATACTCCTGTAGCGGTGTGGATTTCAGATCTTCGGGGCCGGTTTTGGACCAGTGATCCTCGAACGACAGATGCAGCGCGTTACACCCGAGTCTTTTCTCAACCGCCTCAAGAAATTGAGACACCATTTTCTGTTGGCCTTCATTTCTCATGGGAAACCAATCTGTAGGGACGATAATCTTCCCCGGTCGCCTGCAGTTCTTGTCGACGACGGTCTTACTTGGGCTCTCACCTGCCAGCTTCCGGTCGCCCGTTGAAGCCGAATCTGAGTGGATGATCTTCCGAAGGTTGTGAGGACTCCGGGCGAGAACTCCGAGAGTATCAAAGGCCCTACAATGTTAGGCAACCGGAGATTTGGTAAGTGTGAAGACAGAGACTCACGGGACGCTCGGCATGACCCCCTCCAGGGGAAACCGCGAGTGGGGAGCTCGAAGGCCCCAAAGCCCGTATGATGCTGCTGGCATCCTGATACTTCTAGTAGCTGATCATTTTCAATCCACGCTAGACAAAAAAAAAAAAGAACATGAGTTGTTTAAACGGGAGAGCGTGAAACATACTATCTGTCCCCAAAGCCACATCCACCCAGGGGTAGCTCGCGACTGAAGCGCATGCACCACTCGAGCTTCCCGATGGTCCTTGGTACCCGTCTCCGCGGGGATTCCAGGGCGGAAAATAATCGATACACTTTTCGGGGGGGGGGGG